ATTATCTCCCCTTGCCAGAAAGCTACAACACTAATTTTAATTCCCCTTTATAATCCATCATTTCATCTCTGAAAATCATCAAAAAAATCTTTGGGCACTACCGTATTTTTGTCTTGGATGCCTTTTAAAATCTGCGACTGTGACAAGTTTCTTTCAACTACACCTGTCACGCAATTCTTGCTCTCAGTGGTCACTTGACCATACAAACCTACATTTTTTAGCTCTTTGTACGAGACGATTGACCAAGAAAGCTAAAAAAAGTGAAAAAATTTCAAGATTTCTCGTAGGAATGGAAAATTTCACGTTTAGAGAGATGTATGTAGGCGAAAATCGATAGGAAAATAGTAGCGTTTCTCTCTTCTGTCGTTTACTACTTTGGAGATTTGCTAAAATCAGCAAATAGGGCTTTTATACAGCACAATAAAATTTATTAGTCTATAATTTGATTGTTTATTATCATTATCGCACAGTTCACAATAAGGAAACTGTAACAGGAGAGGAGATTTAAAGTCACATGTCGCGTGCTTGTTGACGTACAAGTTCCAGTGTGTAACAACTTTGGCTTTTCGAGACCGTAGATGACGGGAAACTCTGCCCCCCTCATTTCAGAGGAAATATCAATAGACCCATAAAATTCATTAACTGCGCCATGTTTCCAGAAAATAAGACTTGAACATTTTTTTCCACTTTCCACCATCAAGAAATTCCACGCAGAAATGGTATTTGTAGCGTGACTGCGTGATCGTTCTTGAGAAGTAAAAATTGTTTATCTGTTTTTTCAAGAAAACACTTCTAGAAAGTTCTTAAACCTTCTATTGTTTTATTTTTTGACTGCAAATATCGTCTGCATTTGCCATTATTTTCGCTGAACGTCATGGCTCTGCCTAAAATCTTGCAAAAATTGATGTCTCACACATAAAAATTTAATCAGTTTGACTCAGATGTTTAGGCGGCTCAGAAAATATGAGATATTAACAAGTTAAAAATCAGCTCAGAGTAAGAAACCGAAAGAGTAACTGAAAGATAACTTTTTTTCAGCCTGCAGCCCTCCTGGAGAGTCTATTAATGCTACTAGTGGTCACATTTCCAGCCCCAATTTTCCCAACAACTATGACGCAAACAGGATTTGTACCTGGAATATCACGGTACCCAGCGGGAAAATCATCAAACTGACCTTCTTGAACTTTACCCTGGTAGCAGGTGAAAACGATGACTGTGCTGGAGCGACAGCAGATAGTGCCCGAGTCTTTATCACAAACGTTGCCTCTCATGGGGGAAATCCTAACGACTTTAAGATCTGTGGTCAAAAGCTTCCCCCTCCTGTGTACTCCGAGGGAAATTTCATTCAAGTGAGATTTGAATCTCGCACCGGCCCTGTAAACAAAGGGTTCAATGTAACCTTTGAAGCGATAGATGGAGATTCACGTAAGAGCTTTTCTTTTACGGTAATTGATTAACCGGAAGTATAGAAGTGTACTGAGCATGTATCCCTATTAAACTGAGCGAGAATTTTGTTGAGTATATCATGCAAATGATAAAGTAAGCAATCTTTGAACAGCTATAGTCTGCAGAAAAAAAATTGCGTATAGCCAAGCCTTTTACGCGAACACAAGCTGCTATATTTCACAATCGTTATATTGATTAAAGTATAAAACCGTCAACATACGGAAAAGAAGCTGTAGGTGGTATTCGAAATCATCCAGTTGACCACAATGGGCTGTAACCCTCATCAAAACTAGAACGGTTTTCGAAGAGAAAGAAGCTTTGTTAAGATTTTTCTCAGTAAATTAAGTTTTTTACAGTAAGTAAGATGCATTTTACTAAAGCTGGCAGTCTTTTTTTAGTGTGCCCAACAGATATGATCCTCAATGAAACATCAGGTTCTTTCTCCTCTCCCTTTAATCCAAGAAACTATCCATTCAACCAGACATGTAACTGGAAGATTATAGGGAAACAAGGATACCGTGTTGAGCTGACAATACCAGACTATAATCTTCAACGTTGTGATGGCACTGCTTGCTCGTGTGATTATATGGAAGTTCAGAATAGCTTCAGTGATGAAGTGCTGCCTGGAAAACTATGTGGTACACCAAGGAATACTCCTGTAAAATTTTATTCATTGCACGAAAGCTTGAGGGTGCTGTTTGTGTCTGATGATGCAAACATGGATTATGACGGATTTGAGGCAACTTACAAGCTGTTGAACTACAGTCCTCCAAGTAAGTAGAGAGAACAACGTCATGAGATCTCAGGGTTCGCTGAGAGAATATGTTACAAGCAATAAATTCACCCATACAAGTAAAGATAAGGAGCTTAGTTAATAAGAGTGGAAGTTCTCTCTGTTATTAACTCAGGGTGAATGCGAACATCTCTGATATATAGTGTAAGCGGTGATGTACTGGGGAGCCATGCCAACCTTAATTGAAAAAGGTAGTAAGCTTCCAAAGAAATTGTGATGCTCCGTCGTTCGAGGAGTATAACAAGATAATTTGGTTTCATCAACTGAGTTGATAATGTAAATTGGTCACCGTATTGAGTTTCAAATATTCATGTTCTTGCCTTGGGGCTACTCCCTTATAAAAGCCACATTGGAATGTATCAGCCTAAATAGTACGGTTTTGAGCCGTTTTGGTCTGTATAGATTTTGACCATTGGTCACAAGCATTTGATAAGCATTTTGATTGGTTGTTATTTATCACCTATTGGAGAACAGAGGCATAAATGACTTCACCATTTACAACAATTTGTTTCTTCATCTTATATGAAACAATCAGATTCCACGTTGCCGCGCGTCTGTTTAGGAAGAGATACCAGATGATGTCACACTGTGGTCATCAATGACATTTGGCAGCGCTTCGTGTACAACTCTTTTGTTCTTACCATGTACATTTTGACGGCATCTGTGAAAGAAATCATATATCTGTCACGAATCCATGTTTATTCTGGCCTGTTCCAATCGTTTTAGTTAGTAAAACAGAACGAAATAGCCAAGGGCACAATAGTAGCGGCGTAATGAAAAAGAGAGTGAGGTTTGGGTCTGGTCGGAAAATGAAGAAGTTGATTTCACAACATGACCCACCCCTCCCTCGTTTTTTCACTCCTCTGCCACTCTCGCGCTGTTCAATATGGCACTGCGTTCTACCAACTGAACGCCCGGAACATCCTAGACTTATTCTCCCACACTCACATGCTCCTTTTTCATTGATTACAGTTTGTCCCAAGGAAGCAATTCCTTTCTCAGGCAGCGGGAAAATAAGCAGCACAAACTACCCAAAGAGTAACTACACTGCGTCCAGAAATTGTACCTGGAACATTACCGCGCCAGCTGACAAAATTGTAAAGTTTACTTTTACTGATTTTGTCTTAAGTGAGTGTTCAGCCAATCATTGTTCGGATTCTTGTTCTTATGTGGAGCTTTATGATGGTGGGTCGACAAGTTCGCCTTTGCTGGGGCGATTTTGCCAGGGGTCGTCTTGGAATGAGACTCAGTTGTCGAGTGGAAACCAAATGTTTGTGATGTTCCACCCTGGACAAACAGTTGATCGTGGATTTGAAGCAAAATATGAATCCACAACGACCGGTGGTGAGTACCCTGTGAAGTTTATTCAGAATATCCTCTTTTATAATCATCAAACATTTTTCTTTCGCGATATTGGTCATGACGCGTTAAGCCTCCGACTATGCCCCGACTTGCATGTTATTGATACTTCTTTATTTTTAAAAGACCGACAGACTTCCGCCGCTCACCACGATCACGCTGAGTTACTCTCGCCTTCTTTTGAAAGAAAACGTATTTAACATTTCCCTTTCACGACTAAGGCAGATATCTCTAAGTTCACTGATTTTTCTAAAACTGTGGAGTCTTGGTTAGACTTCGTTTGAATTACCAGTCCCTTAGTTACTGGTATATCTGAAAGTAATTGTGCGTAGTTAACACAAATTAAGGCTCTAGTATCTTGTTATTAAGCTAATATGTCGTGTCTGAAGGTCATCAAAGTATAGTGAAAAACAAGATAAATTTAAATTGATATCTTTTAAGTAATTTTGCATTGGTTATATGACGCGAGCTCTGCTTATGGAATGGTGTCGTTACACTGCACGAGTTAAAGTGAACCCTTGCTAAATTTCGGCTTTCTCATTAATTGGTCATCAGCAACGAATAGCAACATTCCATACTCCTGTTACACCATGAAATCATCAGAATGCAATGGTACAACATAATTCCAGTCGATATTTCAATTAATCAGAGCGTTCGTTGTATGTACAATGGTGAAATTACTTTGCAAAGATGGTTAAGAGTCATTCCCAAGTTTCGCACGGTCTGATGGGGAAACTAGGACTAGCAGAATAAATCTCGACTTAAAGTGTGTACTTTCCTCAGGCTTTCAAGCCAGACTTTCCTACCGACTCCTCCTCCGTAAATTTCCGTTGTGCTTGTGTCCCTCATATCTACCATCGGTATAAAAAAAATAGATACTGGCTTCAACTCCGTTTTGACACAGATAACGGCTCTCTAAAAGATATGACTTAAAAGGGTATAACCCCCGTCAGGATTAGTTCCACCATGTGTCCTACCAAAGACAAAAAATGAAGTGGCGTTTACGACTTACTGACCATCGCCGAATCTTGACAAGAGTATTCGTTCGGTAGGTAAAATGTGCTAAATTCTCTGATTGGCAGGCTTGTCCTTCTTTGAGCAAGATTGTCTGGACACGCACAATAATTTTCGATTATTGCATGCAGCCGTTGGGCCTTTAACTTGGAATACAGAACTTGCTGAAGGGGCACGGAACTGGTCCCAGTTTCTTTTACAGAACCGATCTCTTCTTCATGAGGTCGACGTCTTAGACAGCAAAAATCTTGGAGAAAACCTTGGCTTTGTTTTCACCGCCCCGTCACAACCCATTTGTAGCAATTCAAGGCAAACATCTTGTGTCCTCTGCAGTCAGATTGTGACAGAATGGTACAATGAGATTTCAAACTACAATTTCGACACGGGCATGCCCATCAACTCATCTGAACCGTGGCTGCATTTCACACAGCTGATTTGGAGAAGTACATCTGAGCTGGGTATGGCGGTGGCTTCCGGCGATGGATACCATTATTTTGTAGCTCGGTATAGCCCACGAGGAAATACAAGAGGGAGATTTACTAGAAATGTGCCACGCCTGAGGCCGACAGGTTTGTGAATTGTCCTCGAATGCGAATACAAAGTCTTTGCCAATAACATACATAATTCAAGCCAAACACACCGCCATTCATGCATAAACTTGTTTCACTGGTTACTTAGCTTTTTTTGCTCTAAAAGTACTTTTATCCTTTGAACTTGTGAAGGAATGACTTGAAAGATGGCATGCAGTATCTCAGGATTTTTTCATATCCTATTTCAACAGAGCCACCGACTACAACAGCACTTCCATCTACAACCACTGGCAATCCAAATTCAACTTCAGGTAACACAGAGGGTAATAGAGTATTATCATCTGAGTTAATTACGTAAATTGGCCACCGTCAGAGTCAGAGTGAATCATTCGCTCTGGCAAAAGGCCTGGTACTCAGATGCGATTTAGAACTGTACCAATCCACCACCGATCAATGGTGGACAAGACTGCCAGGGACTTAGTAACGAGACACGGGCATGTAATTTAGGAGCTTCTCCAGGTACGGAGACTCCTACAAACTAAGATGCCCTTTTCAAGGATTCGGGTAAACACGAATGGATCGTTCGCCCAAGAATTAAGGAATTGGAAATGAGAGAGAACCGCATTATGCAGAAACATGTACAAAGGTTTAATTTTCAGTAATACTACCACTTTCCAAGATGAAGCCTGTTAAGCTCTTAGTGTTTTTTCCTTGCGTAGCATTTATCTTCACGTCAATACTGAGTAACAATGGAGATTTTAACTTCATTTTCCACATTCTTCCACGATCTTCTGTAGTGCCATTACCAACAACACCAGCCTGTAGTTTACCAAACCGCAGGACACCCAACCAGGAGGAGATCAACAATACTATTTCCATAGTCATTTTGAATGTTACTCTTCAAGAGGTTTGTCAAGTTTGTTTCACCTTCCACACCATATTACCTCCATGAAAAACCTAACCCTTAACCCTTTAAACCCTTCGAGTGATTAGCATCTAATTTCTCCTTACAATATCACCCCTCAACTATGCAGTAAGGTCATGAGAATAAAGAAATTATCAGCAGCTAAAGAAGTTGTTGATTGTTACACAAGTTCTCCTTGTCAGCACCTTAGAGCAATGTATAGAGAGCGGTATGGAGAATACCTTTACTGATGTTAGGGTGTAAAGGGTTGATGGGGACTTAGCTTGCATCGATATTTAACCAGGTCGATCTCTTACAGCTAATGCCTGGGAGATCATTTAACTGGTGAAGACAAGAGAAAGACAGCTCAAGTATCATGGCTTTTGCGTTTCAAAATATATCTCATTCTCTTAAATTTGATGAGATATGTTTTCTTTACGAGACAATTAATGATGGGCGCCATGATTCACAAGGCGCAAACTGTGGTCCTAAATCAAAATTGCATTTCTACGGAGAGTCTTTGGTGTGTGGTGGCGTCTGCTTAGGCGTTTCCCCTCAGGGGAGGTTCTTTACTGTATTATTTAATATGGCAAAACGAAATATCACTCGTTCACTTTGCAAATATCATTGCAGTGGTGCCGAAGAGAAGATGAATTTAGACTACTACTTGCCAATTTTGTCACTGACTTTTGCAATGCTCAGATGGGAATATGTGCCAACCGGTAAGTAAATATGAGTTTTCACCAATCTTAGTTGATTGTGAAGTGAAATTTGATGTGTTCTCTGGTCTCTAGCAAGTTCAAATGCTAACGTTTACTAATATAAAATTAAGGGTAAATATTATAGAGGAATGAGACAGTCAAAGTCAGCAGTGCCTTCAGGTGTCAAATTCGGTCCTGTCTCGACAATCAGTGGCATTGATAAATGCGACTGAATCTTGATGGGACAGCGGGAAGCTTAAAATCAATTTTGGAAGAGGGCGAGGTAGTAAAAAGGTGGTGGTGAGGGAAGGGGGGTGTCACCGACACAAACTTACGACAAAGAGTCATGCTCCTCTGTGCAGACCGTTTTCACACCGGCCTCAAAATAATTTGGAACCACTTGCGCCCCCCCCTCTTTTGCCTCCGATTATGTTTTGCCTTGAAAACCTCGGATATCATTGTCAGTATCTAAGCAACTACACGCCTACTCCTCCGCTGACATAACTTTAAACCTAACTTGTTATCAGTCGACTGTTGTTGGGTTGGGGAAGGGGGAAGAGGGAAGGTGTATAGTTGCCCAGATACATTGATCCAAAGCCTCTACACTTATCCGATTACCCCTTTTTTTTCGTTAAGGTGCATTGTAAAATATTCTTTATCATCGCCATTTGCTTTCTGAAATAGAAATATCTTTTTAATTTCGTATATTCTACCACCAGTTCTTTACCGTCTGACGTGGATCTCATAAACATACTTCCTGGATTTCCCGTTGTAAACAGCCCCCTAGAGCTAAGATTTTACGTACGTCTGAAGGCTGGTGTAAATCAGCACGTTACGATAGACAGAGAAGTCCTTTACGCGATATTCGAAAATTTTGCTCAAAACATAAGCGAAGTTCTGGGAGTAGAATTTACAGGTAGGCAAATTCTTGATCCAGATTACATTTTCCGTCATTCATGGCTCTTGTATCAGAATCATCTCTCCACGTTCTTCTTGCCGGACCTTGCGAATCTTGAGGTCAGCGGTTATGGTGCTGACTTACCTGGGTATGTCATGTATGGGGAATTCTTATCTACACAACACATATTGTGTCGTATACTTTACATACATACGGTAATGTTCATGATAATTTCCCATATATGACGCTGACTTAAGGAATTGCGGGCTCTGAGAGGGGAGGTGTTTTTCTTTGAAAGCACATTTCGAGTTCAAAGCGTCAAAATTTAGGCAATGTGTAAAACTTTGTCCTTATACTGTTGCTGCTCTTGCTTTTGTCATAATTGTTTTTCTTTCTTCCGTCGGTTGTTGTGTACAGCATTATGATATTCTAGGTCATTTCTTGTTCGAATAATTTAAGAAATTTTTAGCCTAAATTATTTTAAGTTGTTCAGATTTAGAGAGACACATTCCTTCGTTCAAAGATTTTTTCATGCTTTATATGCAGCCGATGGAAACTTTACAAACTGGGGTCCTTGGGGTCAATGCAGCACGTCTTGTGGGCCTGGAACTCAGATACGATTCAGGAACTGCACAAATCCACCACCGATCAACAATGGCCAAGATTGCGAGGGACCTAGGAACGAGACACGGCCATGCAACTTGACATCTTGCCCAGGTAAAGGGCGCGTTTAAAAAATAAAGAGGTTTAAAATATGTCCTTTGCCGAATGTGTCCTCGTTTATCAGAAGCTATTGCTCGATTATCCTGGGTTTATTCTGACAAAAACTAAGTGTAATGCAATTTTAATTAGCGAATAAGATTTAATATTGATAGTAGGACAATGAAATCATAGTTTTTATGCGTTAACACTAAGAGTTGTTAAGGCCACTGGGGGTTCGAAGTTGCTTTTGTAAAGAAAAAGTTGTTCCATTAATGCAAACTTGTTTTTACTGATATTATTTTGTTCAACGACCAGTCAATGGTAACTTCAGTGAGTGGGAGAACTGGAGTGCGTGTTCTTTAACGTGCGGTCGAGGAGTACAGATACGTTACAGAAGCTGTACCGATCCTCCTCCGTCTCATGGTGGCCGAGACTGCATTGGGTCCAGGATGGAGACCAGGGAATGTGAACTAACATTTTGCGTGGGTAAGAAGGAATGTTTCAATTGATATCTTCCTTCTATGCAAAAACAGGGCCAGTAGATAACTGTTTTTATCTTATATACCACAAAAGTAAATTGTGCTTTTCCCACTTTCTATAGACCAATTGGTAGCTAAAATATTTTTAAAAACTTAATTTGAGCAGCCGGAAAGAAAAGATCCTGACTTCCCGTTGTACTTCGGTTAAATTTCATCTTATCTTGACTCTCTTCAGTTGACGGAAACTTCACGGAGTGGTCACCTTGGACTTCCTGCAGCCTGACTTGTGGAAATGGAACCCAGAGTCGTTACAGAAACTGTACCAATCCTCCTCCACAAAACGGAGGAAGAGACTGCGAAGGACCTCGGAACGAGACTCGAGATTGCTTTGATGGACCATGTCCAGGTTGACATGTGAATTTCAGTCATATTTCCTTATAAGTCGAGAACAAAAACCGACTGATCATTATAATTGGTAACACTTACATTGTTGATTAGGGAAACGAACCTAACAGGTAACTTTCGATTTTGGAAATGAGGGAAAAACAAACCTGTAAAAATTGAGGCTGCGACGGTATTCAAACCACTCTCTCCGGAGAAGCCACACGTCTGGCGTGAGGTATAATCTAGTTGTTTTTTCTTGTCGCCTTAAAGGATTCTTCTCCTATTGAAACGGATAGAAAAAAAGTAGGATTGTAACTTGCTACTTCAAGTCAGACTTTTACAGATGATTTAAATTTTTTACAATATAATTCTTGGCCTCTTTCAGTTGATGGAAATTTCACCGAGTGGGGAGACTGGGGCAGATGCAGTAAGACTTGCGGAAATGGTACTCAGATTCGCGTGCGGAACTGTACCAATCCCTCACCGGCTTATGGTGGACAAGATTGCATTGGGCCGAGAAATGAATCGAGAGAATGCTACGAAGTACCATGCCCAGGTACATTTCGGACTGAATTCATTTCTACAAATTGTTGCAAGCTCAAGTTGTTGGTGGGACTTTCAGGACGGAGAAAGAAATTAAGGGATTGGAAAACTGAAACTTTTTCGCAATAAGGGAATTTAAATCTGTGAACCAAAAATTATCATTCTGGTAACAATTTCACAATCGCCAGACTTTCAGTCATATAGTCTTAGCTTCCCAATAAATGTTACGAGTTACCTCCGTTATGTCATCGTTACGCTTTCTTGAATTCGGAGTAGTTGAAAACGAGCATACCAGTGCTAAAGATTTCCTATCTCTGCTTCATATTTTAAAGCTGAAATTTTATCGTGCAATGCTTGTGTAATGGCCTGCAGGACTTAAGTTAATTTTTTATGGTTTATCTCGCGAATGATATGAGGTCAGTGTACATCGGGGATCGCAGTCAATTGCAAACGATCTAAATTCCGAGTAGAGCACGAGAAAAACGTTACATGGTTTCTTTTGTTCTGTTTTTAAAGCCATGATGCACAACAAACAAGTCCTCATGTTGAGGATATCACTCCAAAGCATTCATGAATAAATTGATTTGTTCATGTCATTGACTTTTTCAGTTGACGGAAATTACACTGAATGGACAATATGGGGACCCTGCAATGAGACTTGCGGAAATGGATCTCAAACTCGGTACCGGTCCTGCATCAATCCGCCACCATCCAATGGGGGCCGTGACTGCGTGGGTCCGAGTAATGAGACTAGAGACTGTTTCATTGAGCCGTGTCCCCGTAAGTTTCACAAATCTAATTGGCTAGGCTACGGCACCTCCCATGAGGGATATCTGGCCACCGCGCCTCCCACGAGAAGTGTCTGGCATTATTGGCTTTTAAATCGTAATGTAACCTACCACTGAAAAAAATACTTCTCTGATTCTCGTTTTCTTTCTATTGTGTACCTGCAGCTCGATTGTATCCCTATGGAAGCCTCGTTGGTGACACAAAACTGCCGTGGTTTAATCTGTTCAGATCTTACTGCCAACAGGTTAACATTCCTGGTCAGGGATTGCCATTCTTCGTCAAGCAGCACAACAAAGTTGCTGTAAGTGGTGTGGAACTTTTTTTTCTTTGTTAAGATTTATTTGCTGAGGAAAACTTTACCTTAATATCATATGCTGTTGTCGCTTAGTATGTTAATGTTTAAAAAAAGAAATGCAAACTTCTTCCATTTTGCGTCATTTTCTAGAGGAGGTCAGCAATGTTCACACATGGCTTTCATAACGCTCCTGATATATTTCAAGTGGATAAAGAAAGTGAGGCTGGGAGCAAAACTATTCATTATAATTTTTATTCTTACCAACAGATTTGTCGAAATGGATTGTTACGCTTCATTACCCGAACCGTGATCAGCTGGCCCGAACGGTTTCCAGGAATCCGAGCCTCTGGTTCTAACAGATTTCAGCGGTATTTTATCTTAGCGCCATTCTGGAGCTCTATCAGTCACCATCCTTTTCAAATCTCCGACACGAGCCAGGCGTCACAGTTATTCTATCAAATCTACAGTAAGAACATTTTGGGTGATGTATCATCTAACCATGCAAGAGAGATCTTTGACCGAGTCAACAAAGACGTACAGAAATATCAAACAAGTCCCAGCATTCCAAATTTTAACGCGAGCTGGGTGTTGAAGGTGACCTGGGAACGACTGTATCCCAGTACCTATCCAACAGTTAACCTGGTAAGAAGTGTTTCATTCATAAAGTGTAAATGTAATCTTTCTCTGTTACTCGACGTAACTGGCATTGACAAATTCAGATAAACCTGCAAACCTATTTTATAATCACGACAAAACTGCAGTATGTGTCACCCAAGATGCGTTTCTATTCAATAACAATAATTTGATTTCAAAGACAATTCAGGAGTGTTATGGTATTTTGTCATACCCAACTGAATGATTAACCTCCAGATATAAAATCATCCCAGCTGCTGTATTCTTATTTTGCGTTTTCAGACGAACACGTTCCAGCTCGTACTTGCCACCGATGGGCAGCATTCCTTCACTTTGTATAATTATGCAGAAAATGGAATTCAGTGGGCATCCTCCACAGGAAGGTAAGCCAATTTTTTGCTGTCACCATATGATTCATCTTTTTTCTCCTTTGTACAAAAATCCCAGCTGAGAAAAAAAAAACTCATATCTCCTGTATTCTATCTAAAATTTCTCGTCTTGTTTAGTTTGTCTGTTTTCCCTTGTTTGCTCCTTGACTATGATGCCTCTCAACATTTCATAAAGTTTTCTGACAGTTTGCTGTCACCCATTTCTACCCCTGAGTAGAGAGAGAAAAGTATCTTGGCGAAACGAAGACTTCTCAACCTGGATTCCGATGCATTGCCCTTCAGGACACCACCAAGTTTCCCGCGTGACCATTGTTTGCTGCCTTGAATCTGATGAAAAAGGTGCATAAGATGCTTGAAATGAATTCGTCTCATTTTTCTTTTCAGCCGTTTCTTTTCCCAGAATCAAAGTGGGCTTCCTGTGATGGGATATAACGCAGGAGACCAAGGAAATCTGAGCTTCTACAATATACCTGGGTGAGAAAAAGATTTCAGAACCTTTTTTTTTTCAAAACTCGCGAACAGTGTAATGCGTATTTAGAAATTTAGATATGAAAAAGAACAAAGTCATATAAACGTAGGTGAGAAGCACTTTCCGAAGTTTGAGCAATAAAAAAATCAGTGCTTCCTGAAGTGTTTCGAACCCGCAGGATGCCCGTACGTCCGTTTGTACGTCCCCACTTCCGTGCTTTGGTCAGTCAGCCAGTTAGGGTTTCAATCAATCAATCAATTAAAAGAAATGAACTTTGATGGTGTTTTTCTGATGACATCAGGTCAGGTACTGTGGAAGCTGACATGGTAGATGAGCGCCTTGGAAATACAAACCAAAGGGGAGTATGGTTTTTCCGTTTGGATGTGAATCCTGTCCTAGACTTGCCAGCCAAGAAATGTTATACATGGATCCAGCAGCAGGCGAATATCCAAGTGCCTGCGGTACGGCCATGTCCATGCACATTGGACCAAGCTGTAGCAGATAAAAACTTTTACGTGGATTACAACCAAAAGATCGCAGGTCGTAGTAACCTGACGACGTGTGCATACTCGGTGCCTAGTCCAACAAGCCGCTGGGCACAGCAGTGCTGCTACACGGAAATCCCTGGAAGTGGAAACGTTCTTTCCATCGGGCCAACAGAGGGGGGCACTCCGTTTTTAATTGGGATACCCGGCCTTCCGATCATCACAGACTTAGAAGCGCACGGATACTGCTGTGATGCGTCCCTGTGCGCTCGATACTATGAGTTGCGACCCTCAGATACTTGTTCCCGTTACAGCAGCAGGCGAGAAGGTGAGCCTTTTATATTGTCCTTTGCAAGAACGCATTCCGGTTCCACTGATACTACATTGCAAATTTTCACTGCCGAAAACTAAAACTTCATAATGATGGATTCATCGAGTACCAGGTAAGCACAGGCAATTTGGTTGGACAATGAGACTTTTCATCTCTTGGCGTAGATACTGAAGTAGATCATGACGTCGTGAAGCCTAAAGTGCTAACAATTTATCTACCAGATCAAGTAGTTATTTACAGTTTCATGATGGACTCTTGGCTGGTAAAAAAAACAAACCATCGTATATTCATTTGTTGTGTTCTCTTTATATCTCCACAGCCCTTATATGGGGAGATCCTCATTTTGTCACTCTGGATAACAAAATCTACACATTCAATGGCCTTGGTGAGTATACGATGATTACCATTGACAACGTGGGATTTGAGCTGCAGGCACGCACCAAGAAGACCAGCGGTAGGGGATTGGGAACAGTGTTTTCAGCAGCAGCTGCTAAGGAAGCCAACACGGCTGTAGTAGAAGGGCGAATAAATAGCCAAGGTAATCTGATTTGTATTGCTTTTAGTCTTGTAGTCTGATCATTTGCAAAGGTTAATCCTGTAAAGGGACTGCTATTTCAACAGCTTGAGCGGAAGCCGTTATCATATTTTACTTAAAGAGTTGTTCGTCAAACGAGTATTGTAAGTCTGGTTGGTGAGATCTGATTGGCCAACTTTGCTGTGAGGCCATTGGCTGTAAGCTTCAAGGAGCATATATCATTGTGATCGGCCAGTTTCGATCCATCAGTTCTGTCCACTGTGAATTGCTTTTTGCTTGCTGTTGCTGGTCGTGCCGCAATGGGTATCCAGCTAAGTTTATTTTTAACATACTTTAGTAAAAGGAAACAAATTAGCCACACACAAACCCGTTTATGTAACTTCCAAATATGAAGAACATTTCTATAGCAAGTCAACATTATTAATACAATAGGTTTTCCCTTCAAAAATAAAAAAAATGAATGAGCTTAAGCTGAAAACTAATGAGGAATAACCAGACCATAGGTTATCAAAACAAATGTCAAAAAGTGTTGGGAAGAGTAAATGATCGACATGGTTTATGTTTGCTGTATTTATGTCCAAATTCATTTGTACTTTGATTTGAGTTATCGTTTTATGCCTATTTCAGGTGACCTTGAGGTTTTCGCGGCAGGAAACCAGCAAAATATCCAGGCTATTTCAGAGTTTGGAACGCTGATTCAAGACTCAAATATTACGCTGATCAGAGGGACTTCTGACTCAGTCTCAGCTGTCTTTCCATCCGGGATCTCAATCACCTTCTCCCAGGTTTCGGACGCCTTAGCCACCACATTCAATGGGCCGGTCAGGTTTGTGAACCGCACTAAGGGACTCTTGGGGACGTGGAATGATGATCCTTCAGATGATTTCACGACTCCTTACGGCACAGTGCTATCAGCTGATGCGACACCCCAACAAATACACTACGACTTCGGGTTAAAATGTAAGTTCTCCAGGATAAATTTAAAATACGGTGCAACGACGCGCACAGTTCAACTTAGTAAATTTTGTATGTAGTTTCCAGGAAATTCGCGTTAAAATGGAGAAAATCAACTCCAATGGTAGCTATTTCTGTGTTCTTTCCGCCCCTGCGAAAAAAGTTATGCGTCACACCATGATAAGATCGCATGACAAATAACAGGGAGGAGGGGATTGGCTATTAGATAGTTTCTGTTTGTTACAAGATCGGACCCCGGTCATCGTTCTAAAGTTAGAATCCTTTTATGCAATTTGTCCTACGATTGAGAAGAGTATGGATTGACGTTTTTTATGTCTCACATTAACCAACAAAACATAGCCTTGACACCAAGTTGCTAGAAGAACTTGCTTGGTGTTACAGAACCTTATACAGTTAAACTGCCTTGATTTAATTACCAGCCTCATCTCCTTCCATATTGGTCAAGAGGAACTGAAAGAACATAACTTATAAATTGTTTATTCACATCACCTGTTTGCCGGATAATGTCTGATTATTATTTTCATGAATTCCATCTTGCAGGGCAAATAAACGCCTCCCAATCGCTGTTTACATACCAAGCTCACGAAAGCCCTGCGACCTTCATAGATCTCAGCTACGTGCCAATGTTCATTGACAACATCACATGGACAAATGATTCCTTCAGACGACAGGCAGAGAATGTCTGTGGCAACAATACCCTATGTTTATTTGATGCAGCCGTGACTGTTAACTGTTCTTTTGGAATGTCAACAAAAAAGCTGGAGGAAAATAATATTCTAGTAAACAACAGGCTGGGTAAGTAGTGCACCATTTCGGAACAACCAGTCCTTACAAAAGATTGGCCTCATGCATTTGATGAAGAGTGCGTCAGCCTAGGTGGGACATATTTCCATACAGTCAAGATTTTGCAAGAACTCCTGCTCTTAGTTTCAAAGTTTAGTCGTTATGATATTTTGTTTATTTCCCCACCTGAAAAACTACCTTGCTCTTGCTCGATTAAGACTTTGACAAGACTTGCTTTTGACAATTCTCTCGTGATTTCATCACAGAAACTTTCCCACCACAAATTGAAGGACCACAAGTTATAAACGCTACTCTGAACGAAACAGTTGAGTTGAACATCACAGCTCGCCACAACATCAGCGACTCGTTTGTGTTTACCGTCAAATTTTTCCCAGACATGGAAGTCGTCTCGAATACCTCGCTGGGTCTGGTCGTTCGATGGCGGCCTACATCCGTAAAGAAGGTATGTAGTGTTCTAAAAATCAAACTTGCGCGTAATCTAGTGGTTTTATGTAAACTCGTTCCTCTTCTAAATGGAACACCACACTAAGAAAAAACAATTAGTTCATGGTTCGATAGCCTATCTAATTTTTCTTTTTTCATCATGGACAGGTAGAGCCTGTGTTTATCGTTACTGACAGCAGTAACTCGTCATCAGAGCTCCGCCCTCTGATTCGACTTTGCCCGTGCCAAAATGGCGGCAATTGTGTGGAGGACGACGATGTTCAGCGGCAGCTGGACAGCGGTGTAAGATTCATCGTTTTATCATGCGCCTGTCCCGCAGGACTCACAGGAAAGTTTTGTGAAAGTGATGTTGACGCTTGCGTAGAGTTCAATGATCCCTGTTTTCCTGGAGTTGTCTGCACTAATGTTCCGTTATCTATCGATAAAAATGGATACACGTGTGGTCCATGTCCAAGCGGTTACCATGGTGATGGATCTTACTGCATCGGTACGTTTAAAGAAATATTCTTAACTGGCTCTTAACATGTGTTTGTCGCGGAAATACCTCTAAAAACGAAGATTAACTTTCATTTCCTTAATACAATATTTTTGTGAAACCGTTCGTTTTGAATACATAAAGATCGCATTCCTCATACACCTAGATCATGCTATTCGATGCCAAAAATATTTAAGACGAAAACAGGATGATCGGAATTATTTTCTACTCGCCACGAAGAGTAAAATTATAATTAACAAACACTCGAGATCGTGTGCTTATCTACTAGTGAATAATTCCGTTGTCAGTTTGTAACTTTCTAAAAATTGCACCAAAATTGGTACTGCAGTCATCATAAAAATACGGCCTTCTTCTTTGAGACCGAAAAGCACTTTCAGTCCTCAACCCGACACTTTTTGTTTCCCTCAACAGATAATGACGAGTGTGTGGATCAAGTGAGCAGGTGCAGCCAATCATGCATTAATATTCCGGGTTCATATGTGTGCAAATGCTATCCAGGATATACACTTGACAAAGACGGCGTTAGTTGTAATGGTACGTGACGTCAGTGGGGGAACCTCGGTTTTTGATCAATCGCTCGATTTTAGTACCTTATTTGTTAATGTTCGGTTGTGCAATCGAAACTCTGTATTCCTGCATCTGGACATGCCATATAGGGCTAATTTTGACAGCTTCATCTCCCTCAACAAAACAAAGCTTTAAATTGGCAACTAACTATAACAAATAATGTACCGTCGAGGTTGCTATCGCTCAGGCACAAGAGACATTTATATAAGATAAAAAATATTATAATTCCATCAGATATCAATGAGTGCATGGAAGCCAATGACTGTATGCAGCGATGTACTAACTATCCCGGTGGGCGGAACTGCTCTTGCTTCGAGGGATTCCAGATCGACCAGGCTGATAATACAGCGTGTATACGTAAGTACCACACACGTGATTTTGGTCCACTGAATACAGTCGATTTGACTCGTATATACCTTCCTCTTAATCTATAAAGATGAACACCAATCATTTAAAGAAAACTTGAAAAAATATCTTAGTTTCTGATTTCTGGTTCCATTTGAATAAAGCTAGGATCTTGTATAACTTACTCTGAATTTTTTTTGCTTCTCAGCAAAGGCAAGCTGTAATGTTTCGAAAGCAGGCTGCCAGCAGGTTTGCGTGGAGGAGCAAGGACAGCCGAAGTGTTCGTGTCACAAGGGTTACCAACTAAAAGAAGACAATCAAACATGCACTGGTAATTTTTAAACTAACAACATTTCCATTGGAATAGTAACTAGTCCCTAGCAAGACCACGAGCTTGATGCCACTGAAATTCTTGAGGAAATGTTGCTGACCGTCTCAAATGGGCCTCTGATTTTTCATCTAAAGATCGTTTTATTTAGGGGTTTTATTTTTTCCATGAAATCAGAAAGTAAGCGACCCAGTGGGAACGCTTTTAAGATGAAAATAGGATTTCATTCCATTGTCAAATCTGTATTAATAAATTATATCCCTTATTTCTTCACCTAATTCATTTTGTCGTTCCAGATATTGATGAATGTAGCACAAATAGACACCGATGTTCACAAAACTGTCACAACAATGCGGGGAGTTACACTTGCTCCTGTGATGCGGGCTACAACCTGGACTCAGACTATATGACGTGCAGTGGTAAATATCCTCTCTTTTAACGGTGGAGTGAAGGGAGGGGGGAGGGGGGAGTGGGGAGTGGGGAGTGGGGAGTGGGGAAGGAAATGGAAATCCATCTTTCGATCTAAAATCAATGGATTAAGAATCAATCCGTGGATGGGTCACTTCCGATCTCTATTTATGTATTTACTTATTTATTCATTTACACATTTCTTCTTCTATTTCCCTACTTATTGAGTTTGCTTGGTAGAAGAATTTGGTAAAACCAATCATAGCTACAGAATATAATACGCAATTCTCTGATATATGTTTTTTTCCTTTTCAGATATCGACGAATGTGGTTTGATAGATGCAGTGTACTGCGCTAATTCCTTGGAGCTTTGTATTAACACCATAGGATCATTCTATTGTGAATGTCAGCAAGGATACCAACGTGTGAACAACACCTGCGGAGGTTGGCCTTTATTTATTATTTTTCGTATTGTAAACCGAGTTTTAAAAATAGAAAATTTGTCTCCCTTTATACTCCATAGAAGCTCTAAGCAGGAAAGGTTACGTTGTACAAAATTCGCCCCACTGAATGCCGAATTGCGCTCTAGCAAATTCATAAAAAGAAAATTTTAAAAGTGACTTGGAATTTTTTTTATCGTAAAATACGTTGTGGTTCGTCATTGTGGTAAAAACACTTTCAAAAGAGAAGTAATAATCATTTTTTTCATGATGTGGTCGCTGTGGACGTGGGTCACGACGCTTCAACTGCATAATGCTGGGTATCGACTGAAGAAGACCAGCAGTATGCAGTCGAAATGTCACGATCTGCATACGCAGTGACCACATCGTGAGAGATTATACTTCTGTGGTGGAATTCTTTGATCATATGCCCCAATGAGTAATTTGCAAACAGTTGCTTAACATATTATCGTTTAAACGACCATTTTGTTTCTTTTTTAAGAAATCTATCCAACCACAGGGGAACCACTTTTCACAGAAAGCCCAGCCACGAAACCTAGCACAACTGATCGGGTCCCAGAGGATGCCTCTAATAATGCTGTTGTTATGACAATAAGAAATACTGACATATCAGAGGTAAAGCCAAATCTTTCATCTGGTGTAATCGTAACTCGTTCTTAGTGCTATTGTCATATAATTGTTTTAAAATTTTTTTAAGGTGCTTCAGGACAAAATTAGTTTAATGAATAAGGAGAAGGCAGAATTTTTCCTTAATTCCTTACTATTTAGAAGTAACTTACCTTTGTACAAATTACAGTGGGAAGATGGAATTTCTCAGTTGTTTGAAGATATCGTTGCCCAGGTTGTGGTCGAGTATTGTCAAGAGAATGAGAACGAAAACTGCCTTCATTCTAAACTGAGTAAAAGGTAAGGCACTGATTGGCCGCAATCGCATGAACGAGGCCGGTGTTCTTTACCTGGTGAAAGAAAGAAGGTTAAATCTTAATGAGTGACTAAATCAAGAATTGATCGTTGAGAAAAGATTACTGATTTCTGTGATTCTGTGTTCTTTAGGAATTATTCCATACACAGTTCAAAAGTCTTCATACTACAGTAGGCCAAAAGATGATAGAATCTAGACGAATTTTTGTTACGAGAAGGAATTACCAACTAAGAACGAATAAGCAACAACACATAATAAAAATGTGCCGAGTATTTGGTGAAAACATGTTAATGTGATTAAAACTTAATATCCCTGAGAATGTGTGAAAAAAAACTGTGGCATTTTTTCCTTAATAGTTACTAACATATTTGTTCATTGATTTAATAAACTGTAGGTCGATCACAACAGAAATCCTAGCCACAACTGTTCATGTGTTGAAACATTATCCACAACAAGAGCAAGCTGATTTAGTCATAGCTTTCTACGTCATTCTTCATTCCAAAAATCAAGAAAGCTACCTCATGACCCAGGCTGCACTCTTGCAGGCTCTCAAAACGTCATCAGCCAGACTGTCAGCCAGAATTAATAAAGAAGTTTACAACATCCGGGCGTTTGATGCAGATGAAGCAAGTCCGCCCGCTCGTGAGTCCCGGATAGTTGCGTCACATATGAAATGGATCATAATTGGTGGTGCATCATTAGCTGCAATCGTTTTTGTGATAATAGGGAGCGTCGTTGCTTGCAGGTAATGCGGCTGTATTTGAGTGTTAGTAATTCTTCCTTCTGTGCTATCCTTGGAGAGATGAAAGGTGACCTGTTTCTTATACAAATATCGACTGGTAGCGCAAGGCAGCCTATTGAATATTTAGACGCCAAATTGCTCTTGCGACAAGATTATTTAACTTACAATAGCCACTCTTGGGAAAGAGAGACAATTTTTTTATCACTTCCAGACAAACGATTCATTCTTTGTTTTTTTTTCTTTTTTATCTCCTGTACTGAACTTATCAGCTCTTATCAGTTCTTAACTTATAATTGAAATCGTAACCTTTTTTTTGTAATTTTACTTTTTGTCTTCTCTAAGACGGAGACGAGCCTCCAGGCAGCTGAATAAACGTGAAAGGAAATCTGAATTCATTCTGCAGCAATGGGCTGGGAGCCACGAGGACGCTGTGTTCGGATTACCAAATCAAGTCACTGAACTGTAGAACTTGTCACAATTTAGGATGACAATGCAAGGATTAATGCCAGTTACCTTTTACACAATCTAGCGTGATTTTACAACAGTAACAACAGTCACTGGCAATTTACAGAGTGATTGTGAAACTAAAATGTGAAACATAAGACATTCATATCTAATCGAAATAAGATAAAGCATAGGAATAGACCCTTTGCCTATTTACGTCGGAAAACCCAATTTCTCCCCCAAGCCTCGCTTTCAAGGTACCAACTAGTGAATTTTGATAGGAAAGTGTTACCAAAACAACTAAAATAAAAATACTCCTTAAAACAAAGCCGATCGGTAAAGGTTCATGGAGATTTTAAAGCAAACGAAGCTTTGGGGGGAGGGGGGATTTCTTCAATTGACGTGATCGTGCATAAGAGCTATTGATAGACAAATGTAATCACAGAAATACTTAATCCATCAACAATAAATAAGCCTTAGATGAAAAGTAGAACGAAGGCCACCACTAAAACAACGGTATATCTCAATGCATGCATTTCTACAGAGTTGGTTACGTACTACGCGACCTTTGTGAATTGTAGTGTACGAATAAATACCATTGAAAGACAACAGGCTTGTTGTGAGTGTAGTGTTAGAAGTTTTTTTTAATTCACCAGAATTACAGGGGGGTAAGTTGATAGAATATGTCCTCATCCAGAATGAACGCGAAAGCTATGACCAACAATTAAAACAGCAAATCTGTCATTCCAACCGAAGCAACTCTGTGCTCGGGGAAATCCTGAGATATTGGAAGAGTGTGCATATGCGGGTAAAGTTCTCTCAGGAGCCCAATGGCCCACATAAATTCACCAGAATTTATCTCGCCTTCAATACTATTCAGCAAATGAGAATATTATTACTTCACCTGTATATAAGATGCTCAGCTATGGCAGGTTACAACAGCAGTCTATCGTCACATTTTTCCATATTCCCTATCACCCATTTACACACCTGAGAGGAGAGAAAGTCATTGTAAGATTTAACTATGCTGTTCAAACGCTCAGTGCATCACCTCGGCTAGGAGTGGAGCGCAAACTGCCCGGCGCACATACCCTCGATGTGGCTAGTCTCTAAGCCGTCACGTCTCTGCTTACCTTCTTGTCTTAAAATTCAGGTGACGATATGAATCTTTTTTTTTTGGTATTAATTCAAAGGTTCTGATCGTTAGTTATTCATTATGGGAAAGGCTCTCGTAATACAATTTATGATGATCTGTTATCGGAAGAAAGATCTTCAGAACAAGAAAAGTCGTTAATAAAAGTGTTCAGTTCGAAGACTCATTATCAATAAACATTAACTCAGATTAGTATACGCTACCAAGCGCTCGCAAGTGGCAAGGTGGTTGGCTCATTTTGCCACTCGTTTTGCCAGCTACAGCAATTAGATGAAGCGCTAAGATGCCTGTCTTGACCTGAATGGATTGTGACATTTACTGCCAACTGTTTTTTTAGTGTACTGTAAACCTCGTCTGCTGAGGTCAGTTTACCTTATTTGATATTAAATTAATTGGTTAGATGATTACATCGTGGTCACTTACCGCCAGATGTATAGCGACGCCAAAGAATACCGTGAGAACTGAACAATCTCAGTGGTTCACAATAGTATTGTCTTAAGGTTCGTTTTAGCTCGTATGATTTAAGTTTAATGAACGTCTTTTTTTAGCTCTTTAAGTGTTTGTGTTCTGGTTTACGTAGTCAAAAAAATAATTTTAAATTTATTTAAATTAAGACATGACTAGTTTTGTATATTTGCTAGAATGACCCACTATCGAAAAACGGTGAGCAAAAGTATCAACAAGGGAGACTTACCAGTGTAGTGACCATGCAGCGTGGTGACCGTGGGAGCAAATTTTGCAACGTGCGCATGCTTTGATCATATGATCGTCACGTAGGGATATTCCCATTAAAGAAAAATTATCCTATCAGGAACCTGTATTTTGTAGACGTATTATATTGAAGTGATATCATTATCGTGAAAAGTGTTTTGCCCCTTAGAAAATTTTTGTGTAAAGGTATCAACTTTTCATTTTACCTCTTGTCAAGATTCAGGTTGATTTCAGCAAAGGTAAATTAAAAATGATACTATTCACTGGAAACCGAATAAATGCCTCATTTATGATGTAATTACGATCAGCAGACACAGTGAGGACCATTACATTTTAATAAACGACGATCTAAGCAATATCATTTTGGCAAAAATTTAAAAACACTATTCTTACCGGTGGGAAATCCGACCTAATTAGTTAATGGTCGATTAGGGAAATGTAAAAATTTCGTTTATTGTAATCTAAACTGATCCAAAATTGAAGAGAAGTCTTTCAAGGGACATTTAGATGAAAAAAATTCAAATTTGGGCACAATTTTTTCCATAACTTGATATGGCATTTGAATGTTTGTTTTCAACTTTCCAAGTGAGCTGCTTCCGTTCTTGTCATAATCAGCTCTCAAGGAATAATTTTCAAGTTCTCAACTTTTATCAATGATTGCAATTTAAAAAAAAACTGAACACAGGCTCTTCTCTAATTATTTCAGGCGCCAAACAACTAAGACACAACTATGAAATAAATTCTAAGAGACTCCAGGCGGCATATAAAGGTTGGTATTCGTTAAAGAAGGAAAAATATCATTTGCTTTAGAAATGACCAGTGATATGCGTTTACACAAAAAAATTCCACTTTCCTAAAATGAAAATTTTTTGCTCTTTAGTACGTTTTCCTTAGTGGTCTGACAAGAAATGTTGAAATGAAAAGGCTGTCGGTTTAGTGTTGCGAAAACAAAATCAAATCGCAAAGGATAAAAAACAAAGACATAAAAATTCTGAGCAAAGGAAGAAGAATGAATTTGATATTTAATACCTCAGGGGCAGAAAAACGTCACTGAGACGGTGGGAAAAAGCCAAGCTGATTTGCATATGATTGGCTGTAAGGATGACGCAAGTTTCGACCAATCACGGATTCCTCAAGTGTTTAGTAACTGACGATATCATTTAACGAATACCTCGTGCTAAAAATAAGAACAAAATTTGCAAAGTGTTATCAATGACGTATCTAAGATACTTGAAGCTCTCTACGCTGTTGTCATAATTTTAGTGTTCCCATTTATGCAATGCCATGATCGTGAAATATCAAAGAATTGGTAAATCATTGAAGAAAACGTATCTTTTTAGTTTTTTAAGTGTTATTATTTCACGAATACCTTGTGCTAAAAATAAGAACAACATTTGCAAAATGTTATCAATGACGTCTCTAATGATCCTGGTCGCTCTCTAAGCTGCTGTAATGAATATAGTGTTCAAATTTATGCAATGTATCTTTGCTAGCTCCTTGTCATTATTCTTTTTAATCTAAAGATACCAGCAACGAAAAGTCCTGAGTTACAAAATGCAGTTTTATCACAAATATAATTCATTCAAATAATTATTTATAATTTGTGGAAGTTGCTCAGTTTACGATAGTGTAACTCCTGAAATATCAAAAAATTCTTCTTTCTGTGGTAGGTAACTTTAATTTGACTTTTGGAAGTTTCACTTTTTTGTTGCATTGTGCTGTGCACAATTTTTTCCCGTCTCCAAATGTTCTTTAGCATGTGTTTTATATTTAGCCCTTTGAAACAGGTCAAGTCACTGAGTTGTTTTTATCGGAACAGCGGTCACTGAATTCAAATAGTGACTGTCTAAACTCATTGTGTACATTCATTAGCCTTTCGTCAACAGTCTTTAAGCCAGTAGTTTGTATTACTAACGATTACAGCAGTGTTAAAAGTCGTCTGCAGTCGCTGGAACTCTCATTATTATTTAACTCGATGCCATATCTCTTGAAAAATGTCTCGACAAAGATGAGTTTACAGGGCTGTTTATTGCCATGGTATTGCAACTCAAAAAGCTTTCAATAAATCTTAAAACCATGGAGCACTCGATACATAACATACAATGTGTTTTTCGATACGATGCAGTTAAAACATAAACAATGACAATAAAAGCAATAGTAATGATACACCAATAATAAGTATAATGACAAGAGTAACAAGGACTGTAATAGCGATAATAATAGTTTAGTTGGATGCCAAACAAGGCTATACAGTTCTTATGGCCGCAGAATATGGCGGTTAACTTCAATGAAACTGAAATTTTTATCTTTATATACTTACGAAGAATGAGCGGCGCTGAAAGAAGGGAACCCTTAGCTTTTATCTTCAAGTCTTTCTTCAGCTGAGTCATTTACGACGCATTTACTATTAATCGCTGCTATCCACTTGATGAACACGTGGAAATGAATTGTTCTAGAGACATATAAACATAGGGATATTTTTAACTCGATAGAAGGGTGTAGAATTAGTCTGCTAAAATGGGAAACTTTTCTTACTGGAAATACCTAAGCAGAATCAAATTGAAAAATATCTGAAATAAGTCATAGACGGGCGGTTATACAACATATCGAATAGATTTCCACCTCCGGCAATTATTTATATCGAACACTGAGTTTTAATGGAAGTCTGAATCAGCTTAGAGGCGCTAAAAACCGGTATTTTGAGACAAACACTGGGCAGCGGAATGTTTTTCATCGTAAAAGAGACTTCATTTGAAAATGATAAACAAAAAATGAACGAGAGTAGCAGACGATGGCGAGGAATAGTGCAATTGCAACGATGGACAAGAAGCTAAATTTTCAGGGTGTATTAACAGCGACAGAGCTCTCAATCAAACTTGAACCAAACTACTTCCTCTCCATTAAGAGGTAATTTCCCGATTATAATAATAAGTTTTCTTTGACGCAAACAGCTTCCTTTAGGATATTATTGACTGTTTATGGTTACCCGACCATTTTATCCTGTTTTTTTGTTACCATAAAACACTTCGTATAACTAAGGAAATAAAATCTATTTTGTGACAGCAATTTCATCTAGTAAGGAACTAAAGAAAAGCGTGAGTAAAATAAATTGATTTACGAGAAAATTTTTATTTTAAATGGAATTAGATATTCCTCATTCGAATGAAAAATTTTTTCCATTTTTTAAAAAATTATAGATCTCTTCTCAAACTAGAATACTGAAAATAAGATTTAAAAAACTTGCTCGAACGTGATGATACACAAATTTTTCACCAGCTGTTTCACATTTTCCTCAATTTTTTGAAACTGTAGAGTTTAAGTCTTTAAAGGCACAGGATTTCGATGAGGAATTTGCGCTAAATAGATCTCTACTGAAATATTAAAAGCCGTGTAAAGTTTACTTTAAGTGTTAAATGTCAATATTGAGATAATCAGTTGGTTTTGTTTTGTTTCCAACCTGTAAGAGGAACGTCAACATTGCCAATATATTTCACCTATGCAAGCTTACGTAATAAAATTGGATATTTCAGACCTTTCGCGAAAAGTGTTTCTTCCCTGGCTTCGTCTACTCTTGACTTTCGCTTAAAGATCAATTTGCTGAATTCAAATGGCGTTACTACGGTACTACGGGGAAGTCGAAAAAAGTATCAGAAATATTTAGGAAAACTGTTTACCATCAAAACAAGATAACACCATAGGACTCTTAGTGGGTTAAAATTCAGCTAACGTTCCCAGGTTAAAAAAAGATCTTCAAGTACTGCAACTTGTTGAAATATCGAAATATATCAATGGTTCTGGGGCTGAAAAGTATACTTTATTGATCGTGTAAACATTTCCAATTTACCCTTCCGCTTGTCGTTAGAGATTATTCAGCTAGACTTCCCAGTTTTTCGATACCACTACACATTCAGTTTATTTTCAATCTGAGCGTTTACCAACAACAATAAAGAAAAATAGTAGCACCTCAATAAAAAAATTAGCTGATGCGATGCACGTGTTGAATAAGTGGATTGGAAAACATCCACGTCCTGATCACGTGCTCCAGACGTATGTCGTGGGAATACGAAATGACTATAAATATAACAATATAAATAAATAATGGGTATAAAAATGTTAAAAGTGCGTGGTTGTCCAATTAGAAGCTCCCTTTGCCGAAAGTATATTTCAGTGATATTCTATTCCTAAAAGAAATGAATTGCTAAAAATTCTTTCCTCAGACATGAAAAGGTGATCGGGGCTAGCTTTTTACTGTCCTGTTCCGTAGGAGTTCAATTATAGAGATTCTTACATGCTACAGTGTGAAACAAAGGATTTTTCCTAATTAATTTATGTAAATATTTATATTTATTTTGGTCTATAGTAACCACTTAGAGAGATAAGGAGAGCTCTTATGTCTACAAGTGAGGGCTATTGAATCAATACTATTTTGACAAGAGTTAATGACGTTATGGATATTTTGCAGATGATACTGATCGATTTCGACTCCATAAATTTCGCTGCAACGAAATAAAAAAGCACATTCATAGACACTAGCCAAAGAAAACAGATCCGAAATTGGAGAAGTCTTTTCAAGAAGCGAAGAATTTCAAGTAAGTGAAGAAATTTTAGTTTTAATTTCCAGTCAAGTCAGATAATTTTAAATCATAAATTCGTTACGTTACAGCAGCTTCTTTTTCCGTTTTAAGATTTAAAGTTTTATGGTTAATTTGACACTTTCTTTTTTTATTGATAAATAAAATTCATAAGTTTTATGAACATTTCCTTTTGACTCAGTTTTAAAAAAAGATGGCAATACTTTATTAGCTTAGCATCTCGTGAAGATTACTAAACTACATGTTTTTTGAGAAACTCGGATAACATTGGATAACGAGATCGCAAAAATGCGGTAGTTGCAATTTGATATATCTGTAACTCTCACGACGTTACCACGTCAAAAATTTTATTCAAGATCGGTTGTGTTTTATAACCAAACTGAGTTCGTGACTAGCATGGTTTTTAACTCTGCCAACAATAGAAATTTTTTCTGAATGTTAAACTTCTAGATAATCACACCAAACAAGAATCGGTCCAGAAAACTGATGGAAATTGTAATATTATCAATACTCACCTATCAGTATTTTCCTATCGTCACAAATTCGTGTCATTTTACGCTTAATTTCCAACTTTCCTATCATCAGTCTTAAGTACACGAAAATTACATTCACGAATTCCAAGAAAAGCTTTGTTGAAAAACATTCTCCAATATCTGGCCAAAAAACATCATGTTCACATTAGTTTAACAATTTAATACCTGGCCAAAGAAAAATATGTTAACATTTTTGTAACAATTATATCAAACCCTTCTCAGTTGAAATAGGTTTGGGTATCAGGAAGTCTTGCACTTTTACAGTATAAAGGCATCTTTTCTTGTAGAACTTCGAAGTATATAATAAGCGACAGCGTTCACATCAACCTTTTCTACAAATATATTGTTTTTGCAAACTGTCTGCCGCTGCTCTCTGCAGGAAATGCGATTTTGAAAGCGACATTTTCCGGGGAATTGTATAGTATCCAACCCGAAATTCTTACGAACCGTTTAACTCATGTGCCTGTGCTGAAACTGTCATGCAACGATGATCGTTGCGTAACGATGTAAGGCACGTGCATGTGCCAGACTGATGCGTACTATATCAACTCACGTGCCGTCTCAGTACGCGACTTTCATCTAGTGTATGTGAGACTTTAAGTTGAAAACTCCTCTACCGAATACTCTTTTGCTTTTTTATTCAGGTAAACTGGGTTTTTTTTTTTCTTATCCAAATGGAAAGAGTACAACATCGATCGTATGTCATAAATTGCGCGATGAAACTGCTCCAAAAACCAGGACAGTGTCGCAGCTGAACATGCGCAGCTCAGTGAATTCATTTTCGAAAGATTTCCATCAAAACGACCAACACTTCCTGGATTTAGAAGTCTCCTTAATTACTATTCGAAACAAAATCTCCCTTTCTTTGATCTTTGTAGCAAAATAACCTCGACCCCTTAAAGCTGTTCATTTAATATCGTGATAAATAGCTGTTTATATCAAGAACAATATTGTTATACTTTAGAGCCAAATCTTGAGTAATTTGTTTCTCATATGTTGATTAGTCTAATCGGATCATATCTAATTTCAGACCAGTTATAGCGATGTATCTTCTGTGGCTAATTTCTATGATTGGCGCTGTCGCGTGTCAAGGTGAGTTTTCTGCAATAGTTTTTTTACCAATTTTTAACTCTGATATGATATTTCCTTTAACAAGATCTGTTCTGATGTGTTTCACGGCATTATTTTAGAGTGTAGGGCCAACATATGTGTATTCTTTTTGCCAGATTTGTCCGATTCAACTGTCTAAAAAAATAATACGTCGACTGAAAACAATCAAGAAAACTCTAAAACTCATTATTACTTGGAAAACTATAAATATCGCTGCTATTTAGTTTATAGTGATAAACGCTTTATACTGGGCTGCATTTTCACAAATAGTCAGCATGAAAATGTGACGACCAAATACTGAAGGTGAATCAATATTAACAATGATTTTAAGTGGTCTTGAGAAATATGGAGTTTATCAACTAATGCATCAGGGGATAACTACTAATCAAATTCTTTCTACTTCCCAATTAGATTATGCCTACTTGTCTGATCAAAAAGGTAAGGTTACATGGAACCATTAACATCATTTGTATAGACTATGAACAGAAGATTATATGTGGAAAAATTGCAATATCATTTATCCAACTATAAAACCAGGCTTTCGTGTCTCGAAATTGAAAACATCAAGTGACCAAATCATAGATAGACTTTTTTCACTTCTGTCCGATGTCGTAAATAAACCATAGCCAATCACATAGCTCGTTATAAAACAAATGTAAACAAGGGACTATTTTCTCTTCTCAGTCCATTCGTATATTTTGAATACCCGCTGACTGCTAGTGTTTCTTTCCATCAGCTCCAGGCCCAGCAAACTGGTCCCAAGTCTTCCCACAATGCGCCGGGCAACTTCAGTCACCTGTCAACATTGAGACAAAGAAAGTGAAGAAGAAAAGCTATCCTGATCTCGAAATCAGTTTTGACAACCCATGTGGCCGAGTAACTGGAAAGCTGCTTAATGGCGGCCATTCTCCTGTTTTCAACATCGACAGCTCAAAGGGGGGCGCTAAACTTAGTGGCGGTCCTTTAGAGTGTGACGAGTACGCTCTTCAACAATTCCATTTTCATTTTGGATGCGAAAACAATCGCGGATCAGAGCACTTGATTGACAACCAGACTTTTCCAGCTCAGGTGTGTAGTAGTTCTTGTAATCAGAGGAAAAATAAAATTACCAAGTGTCCCTATGAATAACTCTCAAGAAGTGCACCAGAAAAAATCGTTTAAAATCGATCTTAAAACTTTATCAGCAGTCACAGAATTCTTTAATTGTTTAAACTGCCTTCACCGTGAGAAAGTCTCACCTTAAAAGTCTCAACAATAGTTTAGATTACTCTAGTTTATTTCAGGCATCAACACAATTTTTATTCTGTCTTTTTCACGTTTTACCAATACTGCTAACTAATGCTTCTTTATCTGTTTTTCTTCAGCTTCATTTGGTTTTCTATAACAAAAAGTACAACTCCTTCAAGGACGCAGTGGATAAACCGGACGGTTTAGCAGTTTTGGGAATCCTTCTCACGGTATGAACTCATAAGAGTTTCCAACAACTTATACTTGTCTAATGATTTGGACTTTTGCATGTTGATAAGTTAAACTAAACACTGGATAAGTTCTACAAACAGCTTGAAAATGCTTTTTTTGTGTATTGTTTTGCAGGCCGCCTGCCCAGGAAACAGGGTTCTAGGAAATTTAGCCAATAAACTGAAAAAAGTGATTGACGAAGGTAAATCGGGAACTTTGATCGAAGAAAACATTTAATCATGGAGTGCAATTAGTTTAAAGTTTTAAAACAGACTTTCTGAAATAAGGCTCATTTGAGATTTACCTTTTGTTTGAAGTTTTTTCTATATTTGCAGTCTCTTAAGCAATTCTAAGACCACAGGCCCTTTTTACTGAGATTGCAATGATTCGCCTGTGCATCACTTTATCACAATAATTAGATGAATACTATCATCGCCTTAGTTTCCAGTTTAAACTCTTCTCTGTGTTCCATTGACGTCTCTTTATCGTCTTGATCATTTCAAGGTGCCAGCACCAATGTAACCGCTGCGGATGGCATTAAACTGAATTACCTCATGCCCTACAATAACAAACAAGTCGACGAGGATGAAGATGAAGACGAAACCGATGATAATGACGTCGCTAACAGCAAAGAAGATGACGATGAAGAAAGCGAAAAGAAAATACGTTACTACACCTATAAAGGCTCCCTTACCACCCCTCCCTGCTATGAATCTGTCACCTGGATCGTTTTCAAGGACAAAGTCAAAATTTCTAACACTCAGGTTAGTTGCAGGAAGTGTAAACGAAAAAAAAAAACAGATATAATTGGCAAGATGACTAAGAAATGGAAAAAAGAACAAAACTATGCTTAGTTACAGAAAAACGGCTGGGTTGCAAGTAGACTAATTTAAAAGAGTGGCGTCCATACTCGATTTTTAAAAACAATATAAGATGGGAAAAGTGCCATATATAATTTCTTATCATTCCTTGTAGTGGTTTCTGGAGCTGACTCATTTCTGCTTTATTTAATTTGATGGATTCCAACCAACCACGAGTTTTATGCAAGTAACCGTGACTGGTTTCAACTGTTTAATCAACTTTTGTCTTTTACGAGCCAAACCCAAGAGTTCCTCTACATTTTCATGTCGGCCAAAGACACAAAAGTCAACCATTTGCTTTTTGGTTTGTAGTCCAAGCCGTCAAAAAAAAAAACTGTAGAGAAGGAAATTGTTGTACTATTTCTGTTCGACAAAGGTCAAAGCGAAAATATTTTTTCTTCTTTCCTCAGCTCAACAAGTTCAGGAAACTGAAGGCTCAGCACGGTGGTGCCCCTGGTTTGATGTGTGACAACATTCGACCGGTACAACCGCTGTACAAACGCAAGGTGTATTCTGTCGTCTCAAGCAGGGACTAAACACCCACAGCAGCTCAGTAACACTTGTAGTGGCCCTGATTGTTCGAAGGGTAGATAATGCTATCTAATGGATAAATCTCTATCAGTGGATAGCAAATTAAAATTACGTTTTGTTAACCTCTACCCGCTGGAGAGCATTATTTAGTTCCTTCGAACAACCGACGGCAGGTCTTGCTTCGAAAAGGAGATTATTGAATAACAATAGTTTATTATCTTAGAAAAATGTGTAAATATTGTTGTAACTGATTTTAAAATATTTCTTTTTTTTTTTATCTGAGACTAAATTTTTATCATAGAACGATTTTATCAATATTTAAGAACTTTTTTTTCACCGTTAGCATTAGCAAATTATACAAGCTTGATTAAAACTATTTATATTTAGCACTGCGCTACTTTTGTATGAAATTCGAATTCAGCTGTTAGATATCTTTTGCAAAGGATTCTGTTAAATAAAAACAGTTTGACATTCTTAACTGGGTCGTCCTAATTTTCTTTCACCGGGTTAATACATGATTGTACTGTCCATACTCTGACTGAAATTTAAATAACGGTATAAAAACAACATAAAATCCATATATTTGACCTTGCAAATTATAATTTTGACTTTTTCAAGGATCAACAGACGAAATGTAGGATTTGTTACGATGAGTTCAGTGTGACTGATGGCAGGTTTTTCATCTAAATTTACAAACACTTTATCAACATAAAATGTATTCACAATTTTCATGTAGGATGGACACCACCACATACATCCATTGCAATTCCATATTAAAAATACATTCCGATACCTTTAGAGATGTAGATAATTCTAGATGAATCATAGTGCTTCCAACCATATGCTAAATCAATTAGGTAATTTTGAACTTAATCAATGTAACTTTTATCTCCACCTATAAAAATAATTTTTTTTTCTCCGCATTATTCAAAGTGCTTCTTTCTTCGGTCTCTTCAACTGAACAAAGAATCAGTTGGCTTACTGATTCGAAAGAAAGATTCATGGTTTTATTTCTCCCCATCCCCTATCCAATTCTATCTTCGTTGAATGAGATCCTTTAAGAATAGATACAGACTCCTCAATTCTGTTATTATAATTTAACATTCTGTCATATTTCGCTTTCCCTAGAATGACAACTTAATATTATAATCTGTCACTTGTGAATGGAATGACTAACTGCCTAAATTATAGTGAACTTCCTACCATGACATTCGAAGGTTGCTTTTTTTCAGAAATGAATACCAAACTCCCTTCGGCTCTTCACCTTTAAAACACACTCAGTTACTCCTGTTACATCTTAAGAATCACAAAAAAAAATTTGTATAAAAAGAGAGCAATGAAATTTATTTTATTTAATGTGAGTATCTTTCAATTTTTTGCCACCAATCACGTTTTCTTCACTTTTTATTGAATTACTTTGAATTAAAAGCCTGGTCTTCGTCTGCTGAAGTTGGTTTCCTGGGTTTGATATTTAATTGAGGAGCTAGCTTGTTAAATTAAGAGGACTCACCGCCGAACCATGGCGACGCTATTTTGGAACATGGCACCGTGAGAACAGAACAATCTTTGAAGTTCACAACAATATTGTTTTCGCTCTGAAGGAAGTTGAAATTGTAAGATACTAATGCTGAAGTACCAGATGAGCGATCAAATTAAACGTTTCATTCAATGATATCGTTAGCTTGTACGCTTGTAATATTAAACTCTACTAAACCTACATATAAAAATATATGCATGATTGGCTGCCAGCATGGCGTGAATTTGGACCTGGACCAATCACAGAGCAGAGAAGCTCACATGTAATCATGTCAACACCGTGCTATTCTGGGCCTGAGATGCTTTTTTTTTCTAATTTTACGCGTTTAGTAACTAACGCTATCATTTAACGAATAGCTTGTGCTTAAAATAAGACCAACATTGTAACTGTGAGCTGCCGAAATGATTGTAACGGTTCCCTTTTACTCAATGTCATGATCATGAAATATTAGGAAGCTGTACATCATTGAATAACTGTGTAATATTTGAAATGTATCTTTGCTTCTTCTCTTTCATTTTGTTTTGCCAATAGGACCAGCAGCAAAAAAAAACAAAAAACAGGAGCAAAATGCACTTTTAACCCAGTATTGTAAAAGATAATTTATCCTTTCTCAAAATAAAATTCATTAGCTGTGTGACCTTGCCGGCTTACAATATTATTGCTCGAATTGAAAAAGTTCCCTCCTCAAATGATGTATTCTGAAGCTCCTCTGTTCTGCAATAGTTAACTATGAATTTTGCGACATTCATTCATTTCAAACACACCATTATGCTTCACTACACGTGTCTACTCTGTTCTAGTAATTAAATAAACACCGTCTGCAGTTTTACAGTCTCTAAATGTTATTTGGTTTGTGTTTTATCACGCTTTGATACAGATCAACCCATGGAGCTGTTTTTATTGGAACAGCGGTCAGTGGATTCAAATAATGACCGTCTAATCTCGTTGTGTATATTCACCTGGCTTCCGTCAACAGTCTGTAAGCCAACAGTTTGTATCATTAACAGCTGTGTGTAAAAGACATCTGCAGTCGCTGGAACTCTCATTACATTTTTTAACTCAATGCAAGTCCAAGTTAACCAAGTCCTGGCGTAGGAACTTATATCTTGTCTAAGATGAGCTACGTACGACGGCTGTTTATTACCACGGTAGCACAATTAAAAAAGATTTAACACTATCTGAAAACTATGGATCGTGTTTATACGATGAAGTTATAACAACAACAATGATAATAAAAGCGATAATACTGACAATATATGATTTTCATACACATATACAGTCATTTATTCATCACTTCACGGGTTTATTTAGAGCCAAAATTTGACTTGTTAGCTCAGCTGGTAGAGCGCTGTACCGTTATCGCAGGTACAAATCCCGTACAGGCTTGAATTTGTTATTTTTCTGGCCTTATTTGCACTAATGCTTCAGAAGAGTTCATTACTGCGAAGATCGCTTCCATTTTTAATGATGATAATAATAGTAATGATAATGACAAGAGTAGCAAGGCTTGTCATAATGTTTGTAATAGGTTTAGTGGGATGCCAAGAAATCCGCTAAAATGTTTATGGCCGAAGAACATGACAGTTAACTGCAATGAAATTGGAAATTTGACCTATAACGGAATGGAACCTCCTCAGTGACATGACATCTTACTTGAGCTGAGTCACATACGTTGCGTGTAATATCATAAAACTTGCTATCCACATAGAAATGAATTGTTATGGAGACACAATGTTTATAAACATGACGATATTTTACTCAGTAGAAAACTGTAGAATATACTTGCTAAAATACACATGTAAGAAAGGAAGTTCCTTTAGGAGAGACGTAGGCACCGATTTTAGCGCTCAAAGAATCAACTTGAACAATATCTAGAATAAAGTGTGGGCGGGCGGTATAACAGAACATATCGAATAGATTACCATCTCCAGCGGTTAGCTATATCGCACATTAAGTTTAAACGGTAGTCTGAGGCGCTGAAAAGCGGTCCTTTGAAGAAGCATTCTTTCGTGATGTACAATATTTTATCAACGTGAAGGGACTTAAAATCGAAATGATGATAAACAAATGAGGAACGAAGGTAGCAGAAGATGGAGAAAAATAGCGCGCACTGGAACGATGACAAAACTCTTAGGATGTACTAACAACGACAGGGTGCTCAATAAAGCTTTAACCAAACTGCTTCGTTTCAGTTAAGAGTTAATTTCCTGACAATTAGAAATCAAGATTTCTTTGACGCAAATAGTTTCCTTTAGGATATTATTGACTGTACATGGGTTCCCGACCATTTAATCTTGTATTTAGTTTCCTGGAAACACCTCCTATACCTAATGAAATAAAATCTACCATGTGACAGCAATAAGGAATCGAAAGAAAAACATAAGTATAATAATTAAATCGTTTTATGAAAAAAATTTATCATTAAAGCGACGGATAAAGGAACTAGATATATTGGCTTTCCTCATCCGAATGCTAAACCTTAAGAGAGAGAAAAAAAGTGGATATCTCCGAGTTTTAGTCATTCTTCAGAAAAAAAAGAAAATGCTCTCTTCATTCTAGAATTTAAGTAAAAATTTAAGGCCCTCCTTTTAGACTATAATTAAAATTATTAAACTTACCTGGATATGATGATGCAGAAAATTCCTCCAGTTGTTTTACTTTTTTCTTAATTTTTGAAACGGAGAGACCATCTATTAAAAGACAGAGGATTTTTCCTAGAGATTTTGTACAAAATGGAACTCGACCTCAACTTTAAAAGTCGTGGAAAGTTTACTTTAAGTGGAAAATGTTGATATTGAAATAATTTGCTGACTTTTTAACAAGAACATCAACATTGCCAATATAATTCACCCATGTAAGCTTACGTAATAAAAATAGATATTTCATATCGATCGGGAAAAGTGTCTTTTCTCAGGCTTTACTCTTGACTTTTGCTTAAAGATCAAATTGGAGAAGTCAAAAAAGCGTCAGAAAATTTTAAGAAAACTCTTTGCCATCAAAAAAGCGAACACCATAGGGCTCCAAGTGGGTTTTTACTCAGCTAACGTTAAAAGTTTTAAAAATATTTTATCAAGTACTGCAACTTGTCTAAATATAGAAATATACCATTGATTCTGCGGTTGAAAAGTGTACTTTATTGATCATGTAAACATTTCCCATTTCCCTTCCGCTCGTTGTAAGAGCTTATTGAGCTGGACTATCCATTTTTTTAGAACTATCATTTTTATTTGAAGAATTTAACAACAACAATAAAAAAAAAGCTCAAAAGAATCTTCAACAAAAACAAACTAGGGAGATGCACGTGCTGAATTTAAATGGCTTGGAAAACATACACGCCTTGTTCACGTGCTGCAGACGCATGTCGTGGCAACTGACTATAAATATAATAACATGAATAAACGATAGGTATAAAGAGTTAAAATTGCATGTTTGTCCAATCAGAAGCTCCCTTTGCTGATAGTATATTACAGTGATATTCTTTTGGTAAAAAAATTAATCGCTAAAATGTCTTTTTGCAGTGTTGTTTAAACAACACAAGTTTATGAGGTTTAGCTTTTCACTGTGCTATTCCGTGGGAGTTCAATTTAAAAGATTCTTACATGCTACAGTGTGAAAGAAGGATTTTTTGAGTGATGTAAATATTTATATTTATTTTTGTCTATAGTAACCGCTGAGAGACACAGAGAGCTCTTATGTCTACAAGTGAGGAATATTGAATCAATACTATTTTGACAATGATAAATGACGTTATGGATATTTTGCATATGATACTGATCGATTTCGACTCCATAAATTTCGCTGCAACGAAATCAAAAAGCACATTCATAGACACTAGCCAAAGAAAACAGATCCGAAATTGGAGAAGTCTTTTCCAGAAGCGAAGAATTTCAAGTGAGTGGAGAAATTTCAGTTTTTATTTGCTGTCGACTCACATAATTTCATACTTTAGGCTTTTTATGTTATGGCAGCTTCTTTTTCGATTGTGAGATTTTGTAGTTTTATGGTTAAATTGACACTTCCTTTTTTCATCAATTTTTTTCTGTGTCCATAAATTTTACATACATTTCTTTTTGCCTAAGTGTTAACAAAATATATAGCTAAACTTTATTAGCTTGGTGTCACGTTCAGATAATTTAACTAAATGCCATCGGTAAAAACTTTATAACTAGGGCTAAAAGAATGCTGTAGTCGCCATATGATAAATCTCTTACTCTGATGATGTTACCGCACCAAAAGTTTAAAAAGTTTTATTCAAGATGGTCATGTTTAAGGATCAAACTGAGTTCGAGACTAGCACGGTTTTTGTAAATCTGCCAACAGTCTGAATTTTCTCAGATGTTTAACTTATAGATTAGCACCTTAAACAAGAAAAAGTCTAAAAACTATAATGATGATATCAATGTTAGCAATATACACCTATCGGCATTTTTCCCATGGGTTACAATTGGTTGTCGCGTTCGGTTTTATTTTCCAACTTTCCCGTCATTGGTTTCACGTAGGTGAACGATGATCACATTTAAAAATTCCCAAAAAGCACTTATGAAAATTTTAAACTAATACTTGGCTACAAAAAACCATGTCCACCTTAGTAAACAATTAAATCAAACTATTCTTGAAACAGGGTAATTTAGTGTTATTTAGTGTCATCGCTCTGACGAAGGGCTAACGCTCAAAACGTCAGTCTTCAAACTCTTTACGGTGGCCAATTTACGTTTTCAACTAGTTGATAACACAAAATTAGCCTGTTAAACTCTCCCACCAATGTAGTGCCACAGTTTCTTTGGAAACTTACCCCTTTATTCTTGAAACAGGTTTCTTTATCAAATCTTAACATTCTAAAGGTTAAAATTTAACATCTTTTCTCAGGAAATTCGAAGTGATTGTAATAAGCAGTAAAACAAGGGTTCACCAAAGCTTTATTGTAAATTTGTTTCGTAAACTCTGTTGCTGGAAAATGTGATTTTGAAAGCGACATTTCTTGGGGAATTTTCTAGGATTCTACATCAAATTATTACGAGCCTTTCAACTCACGTGCCTGTTGCTAAAATATTATACAACAAGGATTATTGTGTAATATGCACGTGCATATGCTAGACTGATGTCTACCGTATCAACTCACGTGCCAGCAGAGCACAGACCCATATTACGCACGTGAGACATTAAGTTGAACCCCCCTCCACCCCTACAAATACTCCTATGATCATACTTTTTTATTTAGTTAGATTGTCGCTTTCTCTGATTTTTTCGAAATAGAAAGAGTGCATCATCGATCGCTTGTGAGAAATCGTGGAACGAAATTGCTTCTAACAACAGGGCAGTGTCACAGCTGAGCATGCGCAGTTTAGTGATTTCAATTCTGAGAGATTTGTACAGAGTTCCTCATGCAACTTCCTAGATTTTTTGAGGTTTCGTCAAATTACGCTTCGAACAAAATCACTCTGCCTTTGAACCTTGAGTCATGAAGCTGTTTCTTCAATATCGGGATAAATGGTCGTGTTTTTCATGAACAATATTGTTATCCTAGTAATAAAATATCAAGTAGCTTGTTTTTCATATGCTGACTAATCTAATCGGGTCATATTTATTTTCAGACCAGTTATAGCGATGTATTTTCTGTGGCTAATTTCTATGATTGGTGCTGTCGCGTGTCAAGGTGGGTTGCCTACCATAATATTTGAGAAGTTTTTATTCTGATGCTATTTTGTTTATTGTAACTAAAATGATATATTTTTGCAAAGATGATTAGCAATAGAAAGTGATAGCCAATATTAAGTGGTGACAGTGAATCAATATCCACAACGATTTAAATTAAGTCGCTTTGAGATATGTAGTTTCTGTAGGAATTTACTAATTGTATTCTCTTCACTTTCTCGTTTAGATTATGCCTACCTGTCTGATCAAAAAGGTAAGATTAAATCTAATTCATGAATCTAATTCGTGAACAATGAGCAGTCCCTATGTAAAAAATTGCGATATAAGTCATTTAACCAACTACGAATCTAAGCTTTGCTGCCATGAATTTGAATAGCTCACATAATCATATCAGTTCAAATCTATTCGATGTCGTAAATAAACTATAGCCAATCGCAATCAGTCAATAAAAAAATAGTAAACAAGAAAAATTTTCTTTCCCCAGCCCATTTGTATATTTTGAATACCCGCTGACTGCTAGTGTTTCTTTCCATTAGCTCCAAGCCCAGCAAACTGGTCCCAAATCTTTCCAAAATGCGCAGGGCAACTTCAGTCTCCTGTCAACATTGAGACAAAGAAAGTGAAGAAGAAAAGCTATCCTGATCTTAAAATCAGTTTTGACAACCCATGTGGCCGAGTGACTGGAGAGCTACTTAATGGTGGCCATTCTCCTGTTTTTAACATCGACAGCTCAAAGGGGGGCGCTAAACTTAGTGGCGGTCCCTTGGAGTGTGACGAGTACGCTCTTCAACAATTCCATTTTCATTTTGGATGCGAAAACAATCGCGGATCAGAGCACTTGATTGACAACCAGGCTTTTCCAGCTCAGGTGTGTGGTAGTTTTTGTAATCAAGAGAGAAAATAAAGTACACTCCTTAATGTATACTCATTAATTTTTCATGCCTTTTGGTAACGAGAGTGTAAGATTTGCTCTTTAAGGCCATTAATAATAAATGTGCTGGTCAAGATTAGCCATCAATTTTTATTTTCACTTTTCCCATTTTACCAATCCTTCCTTTTAATGTTTCTTGATTTGTTCTTTTTCAGCTTCATTTGGTTTTCTATAACAAAAAGTACAACTCCTTCAAGGACGCAGTGGATAAGCCGGACGGTTTAGCAGTTTTGGGAGTCCTTCTCACGGTATTAACTCATAAGATATTTTTCAACCATATACTAGAAAAAAAAAGTACTAATAATAACAATGATCAGATTCCTCTACGGGAAAGAAGGAACCATCTGAAATGTACCAGGCTCCCATCGTGTGACTTATTGCTCGGTTGGTAGCGGCGCCCAATCTGTATCTGTTAGGCCTGTTCGAATCCCGTAGATTTCTGAATTTTTTCCAAGCTCCTTATCTGCAGCGCCTAAAATTTCAGCTCACCCGTGAAGATCGTTGCTTTATTTGATACATACTATTGATTTAGACTTTTACATTTTGTAAACGAAAAGTAGATATTGTATTCGCTCCTAAGAAAAATTAACAATGCTTTTTCGTGTTTTTGCAGGCAACATGCCCAGGGAACAAGGTTCTAGGAAATTTAGCTAATAAACTGAAGAAAGTGATTGACGAAGGTAACTAGGGGGACCTGGTTTTAATAGAGGGAAAATGAGGGAAAAATTAATGAAGTGTGATTAGGTTAAAGTTTACGAAATGACCCCTGTTAGAGATATTACTCGTCTTTTTTTTTGACGTCTTCCAATACTTTTAATTGCTTAAGCAATGCAATACCACAAGGACCTTTTGACAAATATTATTTTGATCAACCAGTGAATCATTTTATCTCGATAAGCAGATAAACATTCTTATAGCCTTAGTTTCCAGTTTAAACTCTACTAGATGGTACACTGACGTTTCGTGATCGTCTTGATCATTTCAAGGTGCCAGCACCAATGTGACCGCTGCGGACGGCATTAAACTGAATTACCTTATGCCCTACAATAACAAACAAGTCGAAGAAGATGAAGATGAAGATGATGATGAAGACGAAACCGATGATGATGACGTCGCTAACAGCGGAGAAGATGACGATGAAGACAGCAAAAAGAAAATACGTTATTACACTTACAAAGGCTCCCTTACCACCCCTCCCTGCTATGAATCTGTCACCTGGATCGTTTTCAAGGACAAAGTCAAGATTTCAAACACTCAGGTTAGTCGGGCATGGTGTGGAATTGCGAAGGGAAAGAAAAAAGATATTAGCATCCAAAACCGATAAAATTAATTTCGAATGTTCGATTTCGAGCATGATTGTCAAAGATGCAAGCGGAGCTTGTTGCACCCTATCTGTTGACAAAGGTAACTAAGAAACCTTTTTTTCCTTCTTTCCTCAGCTCAACAAGTTCAGGAAATTAAAGGCTAAGCACGGTGGTGCTCCTGGTTTGATGTGTGACAACATTAGACCGGTACAACCGCTGTACAAACGCAAGGTGTATTCCGTTGTCTCAAGCAGGGACTAAACAACCGAAAGCAGAGTATGAAACTTGTTGGAATATATAAATATTTAAGAATTCAGTTTTCACCAGGAGCAACTATATATGAATTAATTTAATTTTAGGTCTTGATATTTAGCACTGTGGTACTTTGAAATGGTTATTGGACTGAGTGGAGCACAATTTATAATTAAAACAGGACTAGTTGGAATTTAGTTCGGTCCGTGATCATACTCGTGCATGACAATTTTTTTTTGAGGACTCGTATGATTACAGACCGACTGTAATTCCATTTAGTCCTATTATCATTATTAATTGTGCTCCAGTCATCTCTTTAACCATTTCAAAGAACCACGGACGGCACACAGTCCTGTTACCAATTAATCAAAACTATGACAAAATTTGAGAAAGAAACTAGACAATGGTTATATGTTTTCATAGAAAAACGATAGTTAACTCGGCGAAATGCGCGAAAACAGCGCGTGCACATGGGGCGAACTGTCCACTTTTGTAAGCATGATGTGTCAACAATTATATTTCACTGCTTAATCACAAGCATGATGCGTACACTCTCCTATTAGTGCTCAAATCGGGCTGGAATGACGAGAATTTTGTTCTAATTTTTTATAAATAATGGTAATAGGACTTCGTGTTGTCCAATTCTGTTGTAATCATACTCGTCCGATTTTGTTATTCACTCGTATTACAGACCGAATTGCACTCCACTTAGTCCTATTACCATTATTTATAAAAAATTATAACAAAATTCTCGAACGTCATTGGTTATCACCAGCCCGATTCGAGCATTAATAGGAGAGTGTACGCGTCATAGGATTGTTAACACATCATGCTTACAAAAGTGGACAGTTCGCGTCATGTGCACGCGCTGTTGTCGCGTATTTCGCCGAGTTAACTATCGTTTTTCTATGAAAACATATAACCGTTGTCTAGTTTCTTTCTCAAATTCTGTCATAGTTTTGATTAATTGGTAACAGAACTGTGTTAAAACTATGACAAAATTTGAGATAGAAAATAGACATTGGTTATAAGTTTTCGTAAAAGAAAAGCAACAATTAACTCGGCGAAACGCGAGACAACAGCGTGCGCACATGACGCGTTCTGTCCAGTTACACAAAGATGACGTGTTGACTGTCCCTTCAATTGCCCTATTACATGCACTGTCCAATTACAAGCATGACGCGTACACTGTCCTATTAGCGCTCAAATCGGGCTGGTGATGACCAATCACATTCAAGAATTTTGTCATAGTTTTGATTAGTAATGGTAACAGGACCATGAGGAGTCCAATTCGGTCTGTAATCGAACGAGTGATTAACAAAATCGTACGACCGCGAAGCGGGTGTCCGATTTATTCAAAATTCAATTCATCAAAACTATGACAAAATTTGAAAAAGAAACTAGACATGGGTTGTACGTTTTCATGCACGTGACGCGTTCAATCCACTTTCACAGGGATAACGTGTTAACTGATCAATAATGGTAATAGGACTGAGTGGAGTCCAATTCGTAATGGTAATTGAACTGAGTGGAGTGCAATTTGGGCTAAAATCATACACGTGATTTCAAAATCGAACGAGCGCGCAGTGCGAGTTCAATTTGAAATCATAAGTATGATTTCAGACCAAAATTGCACGACACGAGATTCAATTACCACTTTATTACATCCATTTTGAAATCGCCCAAATACAGGATTTAGTCAGTTCAAATATTTCAATTTATTGATGTAGTACTGAGCTGGTTTGAAATTAAATTCATCCATTTTTTGGGGGGGAAAATAAGAGTTTTAGAAATTTGTTTTTAGTGTAGCCTCCTCATTGGCTGGAAAAAGATGCGATTTAAGGCAAAAAAATTGGGTGATTCGTGAATAAATCGCACCAATTAGAGCAAATCAGATTACAGGGACCACCAGTGATTTCAAAATGGGTGTAATAAAATCTGTAATCATACGAGTGATTAACAAAATCTGACGACCGCGAAGCGGGAATCTGATTTGTCAATCACAAGTATGATTACAGACAGAATTGGACAACACAAAGTAAATATTAAAATTTCCGAAAACAACAAATACATTTAGGAGAAATATGTGCAGTAGAGACAATGTCGAAGTAAAAAAAATTCCTCAACTTTGGAAATTTCAAAACTTTTTTAGGATAAGTGGTTGTTGCTTTGGTTAATGTGATCACTTCTGTGATTGGTGGATTTGTCCGAAAGGACTAGGTAAGATTGGCTGCTTCAACTGTCCGATTACAGGTGTCTGACTACAGCCAACTGTCTTATTACACTGTCCAATTACAACTCTACAGAATGACTAGTGAAAAATAAAGCAGCTACTATATATTGCATCAATCATATTTGAGGAAACTGAAATGATTGAGGAAGTAATCTGCCGAGTGCGTGGCGCGAGGTTTATTTGAAATTACGGACACGATCACAACTGAATCGTGTGACACAAAGTCCCATTACCAATTAAGTGTGTCTCAATAACAAAATGCGAGAAACTCAGAAATGAAAAATTTAATGTAGGAGCTCATATACGTTTCTTATTTATAAATGGCCAACTTAAGTTCAATTTTCTAAAGTTTTCTGTCGTAATCTACACCTGTCAACTTACTCGTTTAAGACTTTTTTCTTGATTTTAAGTGGCTAGCTTAGGGTAGATAGTGGAATTTCCTTGGCTAAGCTTAAAGTGCTTGGTCTTCGTTGGATGCTTAAATGAGGTTTTAACTGTCCAATTTGGCCTGTCCGACTACAAGAGCTTGTAGTCGACAGGTAAAATTGGACAGTTTAGACCTCAGAGAGCGAATTAAGCCACACATAAGGGCTGCTAGGAACCAATCACATTGGATCATTTTGTTATTGACACAATTATGTATGAAATCCAGCCTTTAGATGTGTTTTTGCAAAGGGCTCTGATGAATAAAAAAACAGTTTGACGTTCTTAAATGAGTTCTCCTAAGTTTATTTCAACAGTTTAATGCACAAATGTACTGTCGATGCCCTGATTGATCATGCAGTTAACTGAGCCGACACCTATTCTTTAACAGCCTCCAATTTGACAGTTCCTAAACACGTGCACACGAATTAAATTCAAATAATAAAACAGTAAGGAAAAAAATTAATCAAAGATGATAACAACATTTACCCTGGATAAAAAGGCTACGACTGCATATCGTCCTCTTTTATCTTCTAAAAGAAAATGAGCCTGGAAGGAAAGAGGACGTTGAGGAATTAATTTCTATTCCTTTTTACTCATGAGTACACGATTTTAAATTTAGTAAGGATCTAAATTAAGTATCGGGACTAAAAAAGTCCTCTGGACCCTTCCAAAAGTCAAGGAATGAATTTTTTGTGTGTTTCGAGGGAAGGCTACCTTAAAGCCATTAAAAGCCTATGGACTGAAAAAAAAAACCCCTTTTGGGAAAAAAGGACATTGTAGCATCTTATCACCTCGCCAGAATAACTTTAGCCATGACGAGTGTGTTCAGATCCCCGGCCATTTTCACAACTGAAGTGCAAGTGTAATTCTACTGATCTGTAGATGTCTGTAAGCCGACTCCCTTTAGCTCTCGCTGTTCCTTTGTTCTTATCTATAGGAAAACTGGGATAGTTTCCATTGTTTTCCAGGTTCCATTAGACCAGGCCCCCGGGGTTGTCGAATTCTATTTTGAGAGTTAGGGACTGTATGTTCGTCACCGAAGTCGTGTCGATGTTAATCGGCGATTACCACCATATAAATCCCATTTTTTATACCAATCTAATGGACTGGGAAATGCAAAGAAATAGATATCAATGCCTTAATGTAGAATGTTCTTATCAGGGGCCCGTTTCTCGAAAGTCCTGGCCAGTAACTTAACGGGCCCAATGCCAACTCTTAAAATAAAAATTTAAAGAATAAAGGGCAGGTTCTGTTACCCTGGCCAGTCCATTTTGTTTCATTAGCTGCTAGTATAATTTTCAAAAATGTTTCAATTCTCGTCTTGCATGAAAACAGATCTTTGAGAAACGGGTCTCAAGAGAGGTAAGTTCCAAAGATTCTTAAATTTTTTGATATTCATGGAATTTTAATTCTAGCTGCAGCTGCGATTAAAAATTTCAAAGAGTAACGTAACTGCTCGCCTCCTCCTCGCTCTCTTCGTTACACAAACGAAGTATGGAAACGATATAACTTTTCCTTCAGTCGCTGTCTTCTTTCTGTTGGAAATCTAGACTACTCTCATAGTTTCAATCTGGCTTTAGAAAGAACCAACTCTAGTACTGATGATTGGGAGTAACATAATAAGCGATGATTACCCCATAAAATTGATATTTAACAGCATCAGTCTAATATTTATCTTATTATTGGGAGAGTGTCATTATAATCGATAATAACCTCAAAAAACTGATACTTGGCAGTATCAGTGCAATATTTGTTATTTGATACTGCAGGTTGTTGGTCACAGAAGGTATACAGAAAATCAATGAGAGCGATATTCTTATGACAAAAAACAAAATAAATATATACTTACTTACTGTATGGACGATAGATGCGGTCGATCAGAATCGTAGGGAAGACTTAGACTGAACGTTAAACCGAAATTGTTCTCACTTTTATTAAGACTCGCATGAAATAACTGACAAAAGATATTTGCCTTTTTATGTTTATTTGTTTTGCTTTTTTGGTTTTTTTTTTCTTCACTGTTAAATGGCAACAACAACCGCTTTTTTTAATGTCATGTTTCACAATGACTATCTTACGCACTGGTTTCCTAAAATATGTCAGCAGTTTTTCTGGATTTCGAAGGTTTTCAAAAAATCTCAAAATCCAAGATGGCAAATTCTAAGTTGTGACGCGAGACGACGACACAGACAAAAAATTTATTTTCTGTAAGCTTTGCAATTACTGAGCTTTTGGATTTATGATCAACGAGAAGGTGATGAGGGTCAATGACTTATTGATGAGAGCAAAGTAGAGAGAACTTCTCATCTTCAGCTTGTAACGAGTAGAATAAAACGTAAAATGGAATAAAAATAACCCGTAATTTTTCAATTCTTGTTGACTTTATTAAATAGTGTAGTCAGTAAGCCAACTAATGAAATTTATAATTTCATTTCATTACTTCAAGTTAGTGACGGAATAAACTCGGCGGCCATTCCGCGGCTGAAGTGGTCTGTAGTTGTCACACATGGCCGGGGGGTCCTTGGGATAACGGCCCTCCAATGTCCTGAACTGCGACAGCTGTAAACGAAACAAACAAAGAGAAACAGATGAAGTCGTTTTGCTCGTGTATTTATTGAATTGGTCACATTCTATTCTAAAGAAAATATTGTAGATTTTGTTTGACTCCTAAGAGTTTCTCCCTACAATATTCCCCCTGAATCAGACATGAAGGTCACGAGAATATAATGAAAACGATCTGCAAAGAAGCTCTTTATCTTTTGTGAAAGTCTCCTTGTCAGCATAATGATGTCAGGGTGTAAAGGGTGAAGTTCTTATTGAAAGTCATCTGTAATTGCATTGTTTCAATCATTAGCTGTATATCTATACTCCTCTCAACCAATTAGTTGGAAAGCTAACATATTACTATTCAGGACTTTATCGCTCTCTTTTTCCCGCCCTTTTATGTTTATTTGGAATATTTCCAAGCTTAGTTTGCACGTCCCCCCCCCCCGCCTTATGAAAAATTTATGGTCCGCCCCTGCTGTTTCATAAATACCTCATAGTCTGTAATAGGAACTCTTGGTTTCAAAATGAACCATGACACATTTTCGCAGCAGGGAGGGGTGGTTAGGGAGCCTTTATAGTAGTAATAGTCTGCCAATATCAAGGTTTTTCGTTGCCGACTTTTGTGTGGTATAAGATCCATCAGAGTAATTCCAATCGCCTTCTTTATTTCCGTAGACTGATCTGTGGAATCAATTTTTAATTTCAATATTTTCATTCAACGAAACTCAAAAGCAGAGAACTGAAAAACTGAGTTTTCCATGAATCAAGAAATAGCTACTTTCGTATTTTCAAAGCGCAACATTGGAAGTCGCGAAAAATTGGTTTAAGAAGCTTCTACGAAAACAAATGAAACAGTGTTTAACAAAACAGCTTTAAAACACATTAAATCTTTGGTGTGGATGGAGTATACATTTTAACTCACTTACCGACTTCTTTAATCTTTTCCAGCTGATTTGCAAACCTTCCTAGAATCACGTTTTCTTTCGTAGTAGAATGCTGAACAAGAAAATTAGGTATGAATACAAACAGAGCGTTACAAAAAATACGTTACAAATTATTAAACCTCCTTTTCCGCCCTTCCGATTCATAAATTAGAAAGACTTTCGTCTCGTATATTCGGAAAAGCATTCCGTAATGTAATATAAGATGGAAATGAAAGCTGGGTACGGTATCACTGCCCTTCCTTCGAAAAACCCCCAAGATACCGAATTAAGTTAAAGTCGTGAATGGGCGAATATTCTGCTTTGTCATGCCAAAAGGCTACGACTGCATATCGTCCACTTGGATCTTCAAAGAGAAAATGAACCTGGAAGAAAAGCAGAAGTTCTGCCAATGAGTATTGGAATTTTAACAGAGATCTAAACTGAGCATTGGGACTGAATGAAAGGCCTCTGGTCCCTTCCACAAATCAAAACGTGAATTTTTTGTGTGATTTGAGGGAAGACGCGAAACAAAAAAATCACAAGAAATTCCCCTTTGGAAAGGAAACGAGTGTAGCATCTTATTACCTCGTCAGAATAACGTCGGCCATTACGAGTGTGTTCCGATCCCCGATCGTTTTCGCATCCGAAGTGCACGTGGAACCCTTTCAGTACGTACGTGTCTGTAAGCCGACTTCCTTTAAGTCTCGCTGTTCCTTTGCTCTTATCAACAGAAAAAGTGGGATAGTTTCCATTATTTTCCAGGTCCCCAGCGACCAGGCCTCTGGAGTTGTCGAATTCTATTTTCAGAGTTCGGTACTTTCTCTCTCTCACCCGAGTCGTGTCGATGTTGATCGGAGATTGCCGATTACCACCACATCGTTCCCATTTTATATACCAATCTGATGGACCAGGAGCTGCGGAGAAATAAAGATCCATGATTTTGAAGGTTTTCATCAGAAAAGAAACGTTTCAGTGATTATACAATTTAGGTATTCAAGGAATTTAAATCCTCGCTGTGATTTAAGATTCTAGGTGTTACTTAACTGCTTTCCTACTCCTCGCTCTCCTTCCCCTGAGGGTATAAAAATTAGTACCAGAAAACGGGGAGAAGGAGGGTTAGGTTCACCCCCGGTGGAGTAACATCTGTTCTGATGGGAAGTATGTAATGCGGTACAATTCTAACTGATCCATATTTATTCCTTTTTTGACAAAGGAGAATTACCTTGTGAGGTAGTATCTCCGTAGCTGAAATCTTCACCATCTTGTACTGTAAGAAAAGGGAGAGGAACTTAGTTAAACATTTGTAATCTTTACAAGTTATCATTCAGAACTAAGTTAAAGGAATTAAGAATTGGATAACCACTGGGCATTGAGATTTGTAGCATCTACCTGAAAACATTAGGAAGAAACAGTCTTACCGGTTTTCATATACTAGGATTTGATCTCCCGTAACTTCGGGGGTAACAGTAACGCACACAAAGTAGTTTTTCTTTCTTTCTTTCTTTTGTTGGTTTTTTTTTCTTTTTTTCAGGGCCACGAATTGAAGCAAAAGGTAAATGAACAAAGCATGTCTTTCACAAACATAGCCTTAGTATGCTAATGTGTTTCTCTGTTTGTAATTTACTTTGACGCACAGTTTATGCTTAAATTTTGTTTCGAAATTTAACATCTGAGTGGTACTCACGATCCGCTTCACACTTTTCGCTCTCTGCTACTCCAACGGCCGATAACAACAACAGCAACAACAACATTCCTTTAAAGAAAATCAACTTCACAATAAAACACTTCCATAGTAAAATTAATTGGGACTTTGAGACAGGCCAGTCACAGGAAAAGAATGCTAAAACGAAAGGATTTTAATGGTTATTTTTTGGGTTAAAAATTCGGTAAATAACTGTCTGTTGGTGGTGGGTACTATCAACAGAACACCCGCAAACTTGGTTGATGAAACTAGCCTCTCTTCTTTGTGGAGCGAGTATTCCTGTCTGTCTATCCTTCTTTCCCTATTTCTGTTTTCCTGTAAAACCTTTATCATCTGAATATAATTGAAACTTGAGAAAATTACATTTATCTATCTTGGGACAACTCACGCATGAGATTAAAGAAAAAATCTCCATAACATATATCCATCCGCGAACAAAGTTTTTCGGAATTAACAGTAAAAGAACCAGCTATTTGATTTACGATTAGTGATCACGAATCAAGATAATTTTTCACCCGTTTTAGCAATTTAAGACTGTTACACCTTCAAGAAATCAACAGTTTTATCTTCCGTCAACAAGAGTTACACAAATGAAATAACAATCTATTTTGTTTCGCCGTCTTCTTTCAGTTAAAACCTCGACTACTCCTATAGTTTCAATCTGGCTTTAGAAAGGACAATTGTAATAGACTAAACTGTTAGTTTACAGAACATCTTCTTTAAATCTGAACGCGCCCACAGACAAAGTGAAAAGATTAATCAGTAATGAGGACGGCATTCCATTTTTCAATATCTATCAAAATCACAAAAGACTTACCGAGGTCGAATTTGGCCTTCACTTAGTACTTAAGCTTCGTCTCTGTACCAGAGGTAACTCGGTGAAGTTCAGGGATCAGGGGTGTTTATATATACTTAGCCGAGAGTATTAAAACAGGGGATGGTTACTCTAGTGGCTAATTCTATATTGATCTTAATTAATACTTTTCTGTGGGAGTTTTTAGAATAGGAGATGATTACCGCATAAACAGATATTAACGATATCACTCTAATATAAATTATAATACTATCATTCAAATCTATGATTACCTCATAAAATTGATATTCAACAGTATCAGCTTAATATTTTTTGTTTTCTGCGACTGATCATGCATTATTGATCTTGGTTACAGAAGGTATACAGAAGATTAATGAAATCAATATTATTTAAACAGACAAAAATAGAAATGATATGAGAAGTACAGATATGCTATGTTGTGATTCAATATAAGGTTTGGTTTTTATTCAAGTTCGTTTTGCACGCCTATTCATCGTCTACCACGAGAAACAATGAAACTGGGGGCAGAATTATTAACAGATATGAAAAAAGATGAAATAATAATAATCATAATTAATCATAAAAATAATGATAATAATTATAACAATAATAATATAATTATTTGAAAACAAGAATAATATAATTTAAATAATAATGGTAAGTATTTAACAAGTTCATTGTGATTTATAGATAATTTTAGTGTCTGATAACACAACCATTACTTTCTATTGTTTGGAGAACTAAAATAAGAAATCATTGGTCAAGAAACGCTTATATTAGGAACTTCAGTCTGATATTTAATTTGACTAATATCTGTTCACTGTGATATTAAATGGCCGGCCTTTACCATGCAATGTTTAATTTAGAAATTCCCATGAGACGATTGGCGAATGAAAGCAAGGAAGTATTCCAAAATGACAAAATGCTCAAGTTTTATTGGATCAATGTACCTCTAATTTAATCTTTTATTATCCGCCCTTTTATTTTTATTCTTTGTCTCTCTCTCATACCCCTAGAGAGCAAAAAGAAAATAGAAAATAAGCCCCAGCTTGAATATCTGTTTTTAGACTGAAATAGGTATCATGAGCGTTTACATTCTATATTATTCCGATTTTCTAGGTAGTTCTTTTTTTGTGATATTTTTAGAATGAAAATAAAAACTATTGTTTATAAATAAGAAAGCTGGTAAGTTTTGAGCTCGGAAAAGAAACAGAGAAAGATGTTTTTCATCTTGTCGTGGGACAAAGAAAAAGTCCCCTTAAGGAATCGAACCTGAGACCTTAAGATTCCGAGCTCGGATGCTCTACCACTGAGCTACAGAGACTCCACGGTGAGCGAGGTCTATTACGAAGTTCATATGATACGCGTCCTGCATACTGCTAGTATCAGCAATGTCGACGGCGTAATGTTTGTAGATTTAGAAATAAGAGAGATGGTAAGTTTTGAGCTCGATAAAGAAATGAAAAAGATGATCTTTCTCTAATAAAACCTACTGTCTGTCAGACTGCAAAAATCTTGATTTTAAATTGAAAAGACTTGAGATATTGTGATTTGTAAATACTTTTTGATCAAAGATCACATCAAAGGACAGTGTACAGCGATGATGCACCCCAACGCAGAGCTATAGGAGATAGTTTAAAGTTTAAATTAAATTGAGTTCAGCGCAAGATATAGATTCACAAGTTTGGAAAGCGTCAGAATCCCTCTCTCTTGTTTCATTGGGTGCTTTGGCGATGTTCTTATCTTACGGAGAACTACGCTTAAAAAAGGAGGAGTGCTTTTCTATTCTTTACGCGCCAGGCGGCTTTTAAAATGTTTTAACTTTATCTTTGGAACGTCTATAACCTGCAAAAGATTTGCGAAATTTAAGTCTTAATAAACTGTTTTATTTTAAAATGTTCAGGGATCCAATATTTACTCGGAGGCTCCTGAAATTTGTAAGATATCCTTCTAACACTGAGGACCAGGAAGGCAGCTTGCTTTTGTAAACAATGAAACAACTTAAACTTGAAACTTTGGAGGAATTTAGCTAAATGCGGAAACATGATTATGGCCAAAATTAACAAAAATTCTCTGATCAAAACATATTTATAAAACACGATATTTTAGGTATTTCTCCATTGAAATAAAACTGTTTGCGGTCTGCTAGACAATTTTTTTTTTCATTTTAAAATTATATAAATTACCCGGAAAATAAGGAAGGTATAAAATTTAAATCTTGTGGAATAATGCTTTAGTCTAAGAGTAGACTCATGGCTTGGGATACCTCAGCATTGAAATTGGCATAGATCGATCTAATTAATTTTCTTATTTTGTACTCTCTAATAGTTTCTTGTTTTACGTTCGACAATACTCATTTAGAAGTCTTGAAAACTTTGTATTGTCGAGGCTGGTCATTCAATATCACTTCGAAAAAATATTAGTTGGAGTAAATGACATGATTAGACTGAAGTGCCTAAATATCCACGTACCATGACGTTATGATCGCCTATTTTGGCTTTCCAAATTGAGAAAAAATATCAGTCGTTTCATCTGTTGTTTAAGCTGTATATAAATCACGATGACTCGATTCCATCCTTTTCAAATACTTCTTATAATCTAAATGATCAGTTTTGCCAAAGACAAGACGAAGAAAGCAAAGTAAAAATCAAAATTGAAACTTACTTTAAATTACAACAAAACATATGCGTATTTCTTTTGTTATTTCCAGTTTGTTCGTTTGTGAATATTGGACTCATCAATTTTTTGTAAAACCTTCTGTAACTATGGTAAACAATTCATGATCAGTATCAGGTAACCACAATGTGAGACTGATATTGCTAAATATCGGTCGTATAAAGTAATCATCGATTATTATGATACCCGCTTTAATCAAAAGTATCAAATAAGTTTAATATTAGACGGGTTCTGCTGGACCTCAGAAAAATAATTATCGCCTATTTTGATATTCCCGGCTAAGCATATAAACATCCCTGATTCCTGAACTTCATTGAATTGTCTATGATATAGACGAAGCTTAGCTATTGAGTGGAGAACCAAATCGACCTCTGTAAGACATTTGTGATTTTAACTAGTTATTAAGTAATGAAATTCTACCTTTTTTTTCGGCTGACCTTTTCTCTTAAGATTTTTAAAAGGAAAATGTTTTGTATCCTGTTAAATGATCTACCAAAAACCAGTAGTTTAGTCTACTGAAGTTTTCCTTTCTAAAGGTAGAGATTTACCTCTTCATGTTTTTTTCTTTCTGACTGATCCATCTAAAAGTTACAACATAGTTTGATGCGGAAGCATTTCCACTGTTCTTGTAAATTTTTAATAGTCTTTAAAGGAATGCTGCTGTTATTGTTATCAGCCATTGGAGTAGCAGAGAGCAAACAATCTGAAGCCAATCGTGAGTACTTGGATGTTAAATTTCGAAAT